CAGCTTGCAAGCGAAGCGCCGTCACACCCACGCACGCACCACCAAAGGCATGAGCGGGTCTCCTAGGGCGTCTCGTCAGACGCGCTCGCCCCCTGAGCGGCGCTCTACTGAGCCAGGTCCTTCGCGGCTAGGCGGCCTGTTCAACTCCCTTTTTGCCAAGTCCGCTGCAAAGCGCACGCGACCAGGGCCGGCAAGTGGTAGCGCTGTCCAGCAGGCCAGCACCGCCGAAGAGCGTGATGGACCCATCACTGCACCCGGAGGTTGGGGCTCCTTGCTCACATGGCGCGGAGCTGCTCCCGACGCCCTGATGAGTGCAGAGCCCGAAACGCTGGAGCAACCTACAGATGTCGCGAGTCAAAGGCGCACACATTCTAGGCGGAGCTCGAGCGTCGATAGTCATCGAGGCACCGGTGATGTTTCCGGTCGAGGCAGCCAAGGGGGAGGAAGAAGTCGAGGTGCAATACCCTTCGATCTGTCCCCGCCTACAGCGACCACCGGTCTGCCAACTTCTGTCGGCGAGGAGGATGACAATGAGGATCATCGCTACGAGTCTCCCTTTGCGTCACCAAGCCGCAAAGGTCGGCCTAGGCTTGCCCTTGATGCTCTGGCAGCTCATTTAGAAGATGGCTCTTTACCAGCATCGCCAGTCGTCTCGCCGACCAAGCTGCAAGCCGGTGGGGACTCGGCGTTCGAAGTGGAACGTCAGCTTGGAGCAGATGCCTACGGCACGCTATCAAGGCTAAGTCATCTCAATCACCGACGCAGTATACCTGTCTTGCCTCGGGCCTCGGGCGCTATTCGGCAGGCCGGGCGGAGTAGCATGGCCGAAGCTGCCGACGAGGCTGGCTTTCGGAGGAAAGGGAGCCTGCGAATGGCAAGCGCTCCAGCTAGAGCTTGGCCAGGCTCATCATCTGACACCTCTGAGGGAATTACACGATGGGACAACAAAGAAGGCTGGTCAGTAGGAGAGCGTGAAAGGATCGACGAGTGTGTGCGCATGTGCGTGACGCCGGCTGGAGTAGATAATGAGTGAGTGTCTATGCTCGTTTGCATTGCTCTCAGTCGTCAGGAAAGGCTTATGCACATCCACATGGACGCAATCTCGCCAGATCGAGACCGATGGTCGTTCTCTCTGTATGCTCTTTGCCGGATCCAAAGGAGGTGGACTACGATCACTTGTTTGTCCGTCTCATGTCTGCTCTGGATCTCTTCGTGGAAAACGACTACACCGTCATACTCTTCGCATCAGCCGGTCGCCACCGACCGGGGTGGAACTGGCTTTGGAAGGCGTACAAGGGCCTCACCAGGAAGTGAGTCGAGATTGTGTTGCAATGCGATGATCTGTTTTTTGTCGCTGATTTTGCTGAGTCATATCTGCAGTTATCGTAAGAATTTGAAACGGCTCTACATCGTTCATCCCACGCTATTTACGAAAACCCTTGTGCAATTCATCAACACTGGCTCTTACTTCATCTCGCCGAAATTTGCACGCAAGATCGTGCAATGCTCCACCCTTGCCGAGCTGGGGCAACATGTGCCATTGCAGCAGATCGAGCTTCCTCCAGAGGTTCTCACTCACGATCTGGCGTTGACGAAAGGAGAAGAAGCCAAGGATTCCCTCTCCACGCAAGAAGCAGGTACGTTGGATGCAACGAAGAAGGTCTTCGGCGTGCCGCTAGAGCATCTGATGGGGGAGTCCGGCGAATACTGGTCTATCCCACGCGTCGTCAAGGATTGCATAGAATTTTTGCGTGCCCCTCTACCGGGCTCGGAAGACACAGGCGAGCTTCTCATGGATACCGAAGGAATCTTTCGACGCTCACCCCCTTCAAGTCTATTGCGTGCGGCTCAGATGGCATATGATGGCGGTCACCCTGTCAACCTTGAGCGATACGGCGACGGCCCGGCGTCAGCTGCACATCTCGCGGCGTCGTTACTCAAGACGTTCTTGAGACGCTTGCCATCGCCGCTCTTTCCGCCAACCTTGTATCCGCTCGTCAAAGCGTGTCCTCTACACGACGCTGGCGAGAACAATCTCGAGGACACGTTGGAGTATATCAGATCACGTCTCTTACCCGCTCTCGCGCCGCCCTGTAAGATCACTTTGCTCGCGACGGTATGCGAGCTTCTGCACGACGTTGCTCAACGCTCACAGCGGAACAAGATGGATGCAGCAAACATGGCGACTGTCATCGCCCCCAACTTGGTGCGAGGCTCTGACCCCCTGCGCGATGTTGCGATGTGCAGAGTGGAAGGCATTGGTAGCATGCATTCGACGGTCTCCAGCAGCGGAGGCAAACCTCAAGGTCCACCTCCTGCAACTCTCAGTCGTGGTGCAGCAAGTACTCCTGACTCAAACGCCACAGACGTCAAAGGTCCAGCCGGCGGCGATCGTACGTTAGGCACTGTGCTGCGTATTTGCGTAGAACACGCCTACGAGATCTTCCCTGCTGCCCCTGTGGAGCCGCCGATGAACACTTCGTACTCAGACAGTATCGACGGCATCATCAGTGGCGCCGTCACCCCCGCCCAGCCGTCCAGCCCATCGGTGCCGCGTAGCTCGGCGCGGCTGCCTCCCTTAAGTACCAGCGTCAGCACATGGACGGATAGTAGCGCAAGCGAAGGCCGACCGAGCAGCGAGCATGCTCTACTTGGACTCGGCCTTTCCGCCCAGACGAGTGCCCATTCGCAGAAGAGCTCGGCCAGTCAGGGTGATGCGAATCTATCGCCAGCTGGCGCATCCGAAGCTAGCGCCTGGGCGCGCCCGCGCTCGGGATCAGCATCCCAACCAGCAGGACGTGGCAGCGCGGAGCAGTCAGCTACATCAGCCGAACCCGCACAGCTCGAGGCCGGAATGCACCCTTCTTCCACAGCACCTCACGGCGCCAGCATTCGCAGCGTGGGAGGTGCCCGCAGCGGCGAAGGGGGAAGCTATCGCGGTGCGGGTGGAGGCTTTGGAACCCTGGGAAAGAGCTCAGCAGGTAGCCTGAGATTGACCAAAGGGCGCCTTGGCTCAATTGGCAGTGGTTCGAGTCTGAGAGGCGCGTCCACGCTAGCAGCCACGGGTGCGCATGCGAATTCCATCTTTGCCCAGGGGTCGCCACTGGGCAAGACTGTCCAAGGCGATCATGCCATTACTCCTCCCATGGCTACCGGGATGGTACGATATGCGAGCACAGGTAGCGAGGGCCTCACCAGCTCTCCGTCGGGCGTCAGTCTGAGCGGGGCGAATGCGTCTGGTCTCTTCTCCAATTCAAGCGCGAGCAATTCGACGCTCTCCTCTCCAGTGGCTAGGAAAGGGTCAAGCCCGTCGGCGCACACTGCGACAGCGGTCGACGACCGGTTCCCCCTATCTGCAAGGAGTAGCACCCCGAGAACAAGTGCGTCATCGAGCAGCATGGTAGGATCGACGATGGATGCAGACGTGCAATCTAGCTTGATGGTCGATGCTCTAACCACACCACTGAACTCGAGCATCGCGAACACTAATCGAGCGCCAAGCACACCGGGTCCCTCGGCAGGTCAGCCCATCTCCCGGCATCTCAGCGCTCCCGGTGGCGGTCGGCCCCTTTCCGAGGTGGTCGAGCACGACGATGACCATCTGGAGTAAGTCTACCGGTTCTTTTCGTCCATCTTAAGTTGCCCACTCAGGCGCGATATGTCACCAGACGCACGCAAGGTCACGTTCTCGAAGTCAATACCCATCTCACAGGTCTGCACCGCACAAATGCCTGAATGTTGACGGCAGGGATGCCTGGACAGAGGAAAGCATCCATTGAGAAGAGAAGCAAAGGGTGCGTTTGGTCAGGACGTCGCTGTCTTGCCCTTTGCTCGTTTTCTCTCAGCTACCCAAGCGTCGATCTGAGCTTTGAGATCGGTCGCTAGCAGACGGCACCGAACGAAGTAAGGGATGAGCTTGAGGAGCCCTCTCGGAGACAAAGACGGATATTCGCTGCGCACTCACCAGGCTGAACCTCCTCAATCTTGAGAGGCACTCGGTTGAAAGGATCTGTTGCGTCGCTCAATAGGTGAGATTTGATCGTGGAGAGGTCTATGACAGCTTTCGAAGAAGGTAAGATGACCGGCTCGGTCATCAGAGTTGCCATTAGAGGGTCTAAGGGTCAAGCGTGAAAGGTTGTCAGCGTCTGTAACCATGGCCCATGACGCTCCGGGCGATGATGTTTGGGCCAATGTTGGGACGCTCACCACAGAAGTCATCAGGTATCTCGCCAAGGTCTTCTTCCTCTTCCGCCTCCATCTGCTTGATCTTCTCTACCTGGTCGACCAGACCTAACAAAACTTCGATTTCTGGCGGAGATTTGAGCATGTATCTCTGGCTCAGTCGGGCGGCTTTCTCGAAAATTTCTCTTCGGTAACTCCTCTCGTCGCGGGCGATAGCTTGAACAAATTCAGGCCGTGATGAGAGGCTCAGGAAAACGCTTAGAAGTTGACGAATGAGATGCTTGATGTCAAATCCAGCTTTCTTCGGATCTTTGAGCTTCAGGTCCTGAGCTTTAGGTCCAACAAGCATGTCGAGCGTGTAGTCCAGCATGGGCGCTAAGCGGGAGACAATCTCCGGCTGCATGAAAGCATCGCGCACTCGTCCGGACTCGCCGCTGAAGTCGATCAGAGTCTCGAGGAACTCGTTGCCGTAACCAAGCATACTGCGAGCGTGGCTCTCGTTTTGGCGCATGTGCCCTTCGAACTCCTGCCGGTCCTCCGCGCTCTTTTGGCTATATGTTGCTTCGTCAGCCATTTCCACTTGCTGCTTGTGCAGCGCGGAGAGTCTCTCTAGTGCATCGTCTAGCAAGAACGTGACATCGTTGAGCAGGCGGTTGACGAAAATGATGAAGCCGTCTTTGTTCGTATCAGCTTGCGCGTGGATGCGCTCTTTGTGCTGCGGATTGCGCCATATGACTTTGAAGACTCGTGCCAGGTGACTGCGAATAGTGAATTTGTCGTAGAACTGCGTGTGGCTGCCAGTAGACTCGGCTTCAACCCAAAAGGACATGATGGCTGGGACAAGATGATTAATTGCTAACTTGTGGAAATTGAGCAGCTCGCCCAAGAAGCCAGTCTGGTTGCTGCCATAAGGCAACACGAAGAAGAACAGTATCTGAGGGCGCTCCAAGAACAATCAGCCGCTGCTGTTTCAGAGAGTGTCTTGGTAATGCTTACCTCGGCAAGCTTCGCCTTCAGGAAAGGGTTCTTGATGTACCACCCCGAGGAGAGGAACGTCGTGCAAAAGGTGATGAGGTCATTCTTTACCGCCTCGGGCAGCGAGTCTGGTTTGTAACTGCGAAGCGTAAACTGGAGATTAGCAGAGATCTGCGGAAAACATCGCCTACTCCAACGCACCGGCCCAAAAAGATTAGTGTCTCACAGACGTCTTCGAAAATGTGTTCGGGCAACATTCGGAAGACGTCTGGCACCTCTTTGGGAAGGGGCAAAGAGACTTGTTTTTGAGGATGTTGATGGATTGGGTCAGCAACACGGACGAGCCAGGTCATGACAAAGCTGATAAGCGTGAGTAGCCGGTAGGTGAAGTCAGGCTCCAGCAGCTGGACTTCGGCGGCAACGAGTCCAGCGTTGATGTTGTCGCAATCCACCTTCACCTTCTTGAGGAAAGCCTCAAATTGAGGCGCTTGCGGCGTCGTCGACCATGAAGCGCGATCCTGCTCAATTTCTGCTGCTCTGCGCTTCAGCCGTTGCCGTTCGTCTGCTTTATCATTGAAGGTGCGCAGCGCTTTATTGACACCCAAGGACGCCAGCCGGACAGTCAGATAGAACGATTCGGTGATGAAGTTGGGCGTCGACGTGAATTCTGATATGGCAGATGAAGAACATCAGCCTGAGAAAGGCTGTATGAGGACGCTTTGAATCTCACCGCCGCCCTCTTCTGCCCACTTCGCCGCTTCCTGCTCGGTAGCACTCAATCTCGTCAGGTCAGACACGTCGAAGCGCTTCTGCCTTCGGTGATACTCCAGATCGATCCGATCGATCTGAGGTCCGATAGAGACATGTCAGCTCACGCGTCTGGATTTGAAGATTGCAAAGGCTCACTTTGGTGTACTTTGGATCCATAAAAGGCTCAGCAAACCGAAGGGCAGTCTCGAACGCGTTTACCATGAAGCCGTCTGTCGCTACTTCAGACTTGCGAACGCGCACGACCCCTCTTCGCTTATTCAGCTCGCAGATCTTCGACCAGAATGCCAGGACGCCTTCCCTACTGTCTGGGCTTGCGCGGACCATCGCATTGAACATGCGGAAATGAAGTTGATGGACGAGCTGAAGCGTGCCTCGAAGCGTAGTGATCCCCGCATTGACGTTGGCCGCCTGACTGAGATCGGAGAAGTAGGTCTGAGCCACAGAGGGGGCCACGTCGATGAATGAGGATAGTCGGAGCAATGGGCCCAAGAGCGAGTCGTTCTCTATGGATGGTCCAGTGGCGCTAGCAGGCGTGAATTCAGGAAGGCCAGGAACCTGTGAGATGCTCCCGCAGTGTAAGCAAAGTCGCGGGGTGTTGATATCCACTCCTGAACGTCACCTACTTTGGCCGCAATGGGTTTCACCTCGAGAGTCTCGACTACGGCTGTAAGATGCGACCTCCAATCCATTCCCTCGATGGTCATGCCCTCGTTGCGACTCGGTCCCGCCGCCCCTCGGCCCCCCGGTAAGCCTCCACCAGCTGCGGGAGCTCCTCCCGCGAGAAGCTGAGCCAAGACTGCCTGGACATTTCCGGCTGCTGCCGCTTCTTGAAGCGCTCTGCCTCGCGCTGCTTCGGCCTCTGCGGCGGAATTCTGACCATTGGCGGAGCCTGACTGTGTTGTGGCTTGGGCGCTACCATCTGCATCGCGACCATTGCGTACGTGTCGACTAATTTCGTGCAAGGGTGGCTCGATTATCTCCTCCAAGCCTTCATCTTGAAATCTCTCTGCCAGCTCTGATAAGAAGAGAGGAAGATCGACAGAATCGATAGTCGCCCATTCTCCCTTCCTGGGGAATTGATATGCTCCACTTGAGCTGCTATTCGACGAAGTGTACGGATCTCCTGAAGCTGCAGTCGACTCCTTCAACAAGCTTGGTAGAAGGGTCAGACCACTGACTGTCATTTTGCCACCGTTCTTGCTAGTTCCAGGAAAGATGCTAGCGTCCTGGAGCACGAGACCCATGTACGAGGTCAACAACCTTCGAAGCTCATCTAGGACTGCCTGACCCTGGGGAGCCTTTGAACCCAGCACCTGCAGGAACAGTGGAGTCCGCATTAGTCATGGGTACCTGCTGAAGCTTCGACTCTCCAGATTCACCTTCTTTATCCGTGATTCTTCGGCTCGACAACGCCTATATGCTAAGCAGAGATAGTCCCAAGATGTCACATCGTCCGGTAGCGAGGCAAGCGCCTGCAGCTTTTCGCCATCATCGCTCATGACGTCCGCTTGCGGATCCAGTGAGAGCCTAGCCAGCAGTATCCGGTCTGCAAGGGAGACATCGATGGGCGGCACTGATTTGGAGCGCAAGTCGGCAAGGGTGAGAATTGATCACGCTTCTGACAGGGCCACCCTCAACCAGCTGTTCTACTCACAGCTGTTCGCGTTCTCATCTTTGAGCTCGTCTGCTAGCTCCTTCAAATAGATCAGCTTCCATTGCGATTGCTCGGCCTCCTGGAACTGTAAAGCCAAGGTTCCGCCTTGGTGATCAGCTCACTTACTGTCGGCGAAGGGCAGCACTGCAGGGGACACTCACGTCCAAAGCAGCTCCAAGCACACCTTTGACAGTCTCAGACGTCCATCCTTGGATATCGGTGGTCATGCCGTCAGCAGCGGGAGATGGTCGCTGTGGAGGGCGCTGAAAGGAGTGGCGTGCGGGCGGTTGTGACGTGGCGACGTCGGACAGATTCTACGTGAAGGGGATACCAAACCTTTGGTGTATTTTTCCATGCGTACATGGAGATCACTTCGGTCGCCGCTTGATGGTGGAGCGAGCCTTCAAAAGATATCGTGGAAGTGGTCCTGGGATAGAAGAGGAAGAGGTGAGCGGCTTGCGCGTCGCCCTTCTGCTACGGTGTTTGTTGCGTCACGCGTGGTACATGCTTGACTCACGCCAGATGCGCACAGACCACGTGAGCGCTGCTGACATCGATCGCAGCGCAACACAGTCACAATCACAATCACGTGAATCACGAATCGGATTCGTGTTCGAAGCGACCGGTACTTCATTTACAACATCACGGATGACCCTCATCAAGTTGACTGCTCTAACTCATGATTTGCGCAAACAGTCTTTGCAACTGGCCTCAGCGTACGCCGCATTCAAACACCTACCGTAGGCGTGTCGGCAAGCAGGATGCCCGGTGAACGGCGCTCTTATTTTTTCCTTGCTTGATGCTTAGTCTCGGGCACAAACGAGCCATCGGCTCATAATTGATTCATTCCAAAACCGCACACAACCTGTTTAAGGACCTCGATTCTGAATAGGGGGGCCGCGGAGCATGCAGCATTCGGTCTCAGCGCGTCCACAAGCTTCCGATCCATGCTTTGAGCGTAGCAGCCGGACCCATGTGTGTGCCGACCGCTTGAGCGGCGAGATGCACCGTATTTGTCAGGAGCGTCCCAGGTCCGGGCAAGTCCTCGCCAGGGTCTTCGGTGTCGCCAGTAGAAGGGGCGAAGACGAATCCAGAGACGAGAACGACGTAGCTCAGTATGAGTATGCTGCCGCGGTAGTAGTTGGATCGTGCTTCAGTGTAGGTATAGGTGAGGAGGAAGATGGAGAAGATAATGGCGATGACGTCCCATCTAGGGAAGATCAAACTGAAAATCTGTTGCTCGTCTGCTTCTCCACTACGATTCCACCACGCGCTGAAAACGACCATGGCTGGAATTTGGATCAAGCAGACTTGCAGAGCATCTGTGTGGAATTGCGATCGGGCAAGCACATCAGTACAGGCGGCGCGCAGGGCGAAGCTTGGGAATCGTACTCACATGCACTGCCGATTTCCATACTCAGAGCGATATTGCCGTTCATTGCAAAACTCATCGCGTTCAGGAATTCGGTCGTGTTTGGAACTAGCGCGAAGAGAGTGATACCAAGCAGCTTGATGTCGATGCCAGCTCCGTCAAGAACAACGTCGACGGCGTCGACGAGGATCTCGGCAATAATGGCGTAGAGGACAGTGCAGCTGAGCAAGACAAACATGCTTTGGTTGCGAGTCCAAGATGGCGCATCGTGGCCACCATGGCCGCCCTCAGCGTCGTCCGCATCGTGAGTCGCATCGTGGACAGAATGGTGTCGGGGCTGCGCGGGACCTACCGCTGAGCGCGGAATAGCCTGATTCGCATGGTGTACCACGTTTGCCGGAGCGTGACCAGAACTTGACCGGGATTGTTGCTGCAGCTGCTTCTGACGCTCGTCTTCCTGCATGAAGGCGCTTGTCGTCAAAGCGACCGCGCGTGCGTAGTCGTCGGAAGTCAGGCTTGCTGATTCAGGCAACTGAAGAGGAGGCAAAGCGCCGCCTTCGGGAGCTCCACCGCGGCTAGAACGAGCGGTGCCGGTACCTTGACTGTGTGCCTGGCTGTGTGGGCGATGCTGCTGGCCGTGAGCTGGGGCAGAGGCAGGATAAGCCGACTGTTGACCGTGTGTGGGTAGGAGCTGGCCGACAGGTTGGAGGATGCGCTTGTAGATGCTTGCTCGCTGTGCAGAAGGGATGCTAATGGCGTTCGATCCGGCGCCCGTGTGCACTGCGCCCGCATGTTGATGAACAGGCGTAGCACCGACAGCCGGCACAGGGTTTGGGTTTTGCCAGATCTGGGAGGCGTGCGTTCGAAGACTAAACCAGAGACCAATGCCGTACGACAGCACGAGGACCACCGTGCAAGTGTACATTAGACCCTTGACATCGCGTTGGTAAAAGGGGTCCGACGCAGGTGGCACGTGTTCGTAGAAGCATTGCTTGCACGTCCAAGTATCTCCGGGCGGCGCTCCGACGGGACATCCGTTGCAGGTGAGCTGGAATGTTCCATATATCTGGTAGAAGAGCGTGGGTGTCAAAATGCCGATGATTGCCATGATCAGCATGGTGCTCGTGACGCCAGCTGAGCGAGCGTTGAACCGTTGCTCCTTGCGACGTGTTGCCCCACTGCACATGGACAGGCCAGGCATCAGCAAGACACCGGCCAGGATCGAGCCGACCAGCGAACCCTCGACCAAGCGCGCCTTGTCTTGGGTCAGGGCAATGGCGTACAGGATGATTTCGACAATCGAACCAAAAGTCGCATTGATGACAGCACCCATACCAATGCTGCTCTGTGCGCTAATGCTTGCAACAGCCATGCCGATGAAGTAACTGAGTGGTAGCACGCTACCAAGCGCCAGCACAAAGAGCGCGCCCTGGGACGAGATGAAGGCCAGGAACCCGGTCTCAATGTGGTGGCGGTGCACGTAGTCTTCGACGAAGAAGAAGTCGAGAATTGTCAAGATGACGAAGGGCAGTGTGTTGATGAACAGAATGTTGACACCTCCGACGGTGTATTTGTAGTACTGCAAGCCCATCGCCCGGTATGTGCAAAGGAGGATCTTCGAGCGCCGGACAGGTTCGAGAGCGCCGCCTTCCTTGCGGACGACTCTGCGGCGAGGAGCGAATTGGCCTGGTTGAAGAGGTTTAAGAAATCCGTTCTGAAGCTGCTCGGATCCTGCCGACGAGCTTTGCGCATCATCGTCGTTGAGGCCTGCGGCAAGGGCAATGCCAGGCGCGGAACGGAAGTGCAATGCCAGGGGTTGGGTAGCCAAATTCTTGAGGAGTACCCAAGTCAACTTGGCCATCGGAATGGTGAACACCACCCCCCAGAGTGAGAGGCACACAAGACCCAAGACGGGCGCAAGAGCGATCCAGAAGAAGATGCCGTAGGCGATGGTGCCGCCCAGACGTCTTGAGCGACCAATGTCGTTGCCGTCTGCGTCGTGCACGTACTCGTAGAGTCTCCGCTCCTCGACGATCCGCTCCCTTTCATCCTTGACCTCGCTTCCCGAGTCGAGCCCAGCATCGCCCATCGCCCCATAGTCTGCGGATTGAGCCGTACCAGACGCACGACGCTTTCCCTTCAGTGGACTGGTCTCGGTCGCTGCTTCTGTGAAGTTCGCTCTGGTAGCAGTCGCAACATCCTCCACACCTTGACGAGAGCTGGAAGCCTCGTTACTTGAGGAGCTGCCAGTGCAATCTTGGTGCTGTTGCAAATCAGGGCGCTGCTTGAGCGTGCTCTGCTCATCAGCAAAGGAGCGACTCGACGCAGAGCGCGGTCCAGCGCGGCTGTTGAAGGGAACTGTGTGGTGCTCGTGGTCGTGAGGAAATCTGGCAGCCACTGGCGTGAAGGCATTCTCGAATGTTGCGTCTCCTTCTTCCCCATTGGTCGCGTCTTGGTCATCATCCCCAAAAATGGTCCCTCGCTCTCCGCTGTTAGGTCCGACATCGACCTCTACATATTTGCCAAAAGGCCAGATGAGGTAGCAGCCAAGTTCCCACAGAACTCGAGCGTAGCGACGTCCACCCAGTGGGACAGCGGCGAGCACGAAGCTAAGCAGAATGCAGAGCACACTCAGCCAGCTTCCAAAGAAGACCGTCCAGATGATGTTGCCGGGGAGTAGATGCCTCTCAGCCGCAGCTGATGGCATGGAATGGAGCGCATCCTCTGCATTTCTCGTGACCGTGCGGCTCTTCTTGTACAACGCGGGCTTCCAGATCGGCAAACCGAAAGGATGCTCGATATTGATTGCGTCCTGTCTATCTTTGAGCGTGTACTCGACATCTCCGCCCGAGGAGTCACCATCATCGTCGCCATTAGCATCGTCGTCCAAGTCGCCAGAATCGCCATCTTCAGGGGACGCTTCCTGAACATCCACACCAGTGCTGTTGCGCACAGCCTGCACTTGAGTGTCTCTCTCCTTGACCAAGCCTCCAAGGGTGTCTCGACCTTCCTCGTGATCATCTTCCTCCGCTTGGCCAATATCGCCGTCCTCCGAAGACCCCTCCACGACGCTACCAGCGATACTGCCCGCGCCAACTTCGGATTGTGCGCGATTGCTGTCGCTGAACACGTCCCTGGCGGGGGCGCCAGTGGTCGGTGCGCGTGTCGTCGAGACGCTGAAGTTTGCGCTTGAACGACGTGCAGAGTGAACATCGGGCGAGGTGGCTGGCAGACCAGAGCGCATGATATGAGAGTGCGGCGAAGGGTACGCCTGGTGTCCGCTAGCTCCACTCGTGTGGCGGCTACCACCTGGACTGGCAGTCGGTGGCGCCGCAGACGAGGGAGCAGTGCCCGGAGAAAGCAGTCCCGAGCTGATCTCCGATCCAGGTGTAGGAATGGAGATGTGCATCGGACGTCCTTCTCGAGTCGCTGCACCGCCCTCTGGCTGAGGGGATCGCAGACCTCCGCCAATAGCAGCGATGCTTCCTGAGCGGATCCTAGGGCTGCTTGGAGTCTGCTGTTGCTGCTGGCGCGTGCGCCCTTGCTCTGCTGCCTTTTGCTTTTGCTTCTCGAGCTTCTTTCGGGCTTTTGCACGTCGACGCACGAGTTCCTCGCCACGATCGTAGGGCTGAACTTCATCATCTTCGTCATCCAGCGGACCGAACCGACCGTCTTCATCGTCGCTTCGTCCTCCACCGCGTGCGACGCTGCTTCGACGGCCTTTATCTGCAACGCTGGTACGCCGGGAGCCACCTCGATTGGTGCTTTGGCTCGCTCCCGTGGCCCGACTCATGGAGCTACTGACGCCTGCCTTGCTGGACACAGCGCGCACTGTGTCACCTCGACCGCGAGCGGTAGTCGTGGTAGAGGACGAGCGCTGTGCGGCGTGCAGAGACTGAGCGCCGCTGTCTTGCATGCTGCGATTCGCGTTACTTGCCAGAATCGAGCCGTCATCTGAGTCGTACTCCGACGCTGACAAGGCACTGCCACTTTCGAGGTCGCTAGGCGCGTAGGAGGTGCTGCGGGCTGCGCTGCGAGGTGTAGTACCGGCGTTCAGGCTGCCCTGGACGCTTGGGTACCTAGCTGACGCGCTTCGAGGTGTAGCATTTAGGGCGGGGCGCTACAAGAAGGAGCAACAAGAAGGAACAATGCATTGCGCTGTGAGCAGTCGAGCAGCAGATAAGACGCACGATTAGAGGAGCTGCAATCGGAACTCACTGGAGCAGGTTGATTGCGGCCAAGGGTGTTTCCTTGGCTATCCGAGCTTTGAGAGGTGTTCTGACCAGCACTTTCACCGCTGTTCCTCCAAGTGTTGACACTGGCATCTCGGAGTTGAGCTTGGTTGGGAGTGTGCTTGTGCTGAGACTGTGTAGGAGTAGTGCTCAGACTGTTTTCTGATTCATCGTGCCCGACGACGCTTTCGCTGGCACTATTGGCGGTCGCGACGGAGACTGATCGTCGGGGATTGTTGGATTTGCGCCCCTCGACGACTCCTTGAGAAGAACTCATTCTGGCGAGTGCTGCTGATGAGAGGAGATGTGCCGAGGTCAAGCTCTATCAACTCGGCAAGTGACTATTGAGGACGATAAGATGCTGTACGGGTATGAGAGGATCGCCGTGCAGACGACGTCGAGTCGAGATGAACGTGTGAAGCTGCAGCAGGACAGGGGCTTCTGTACAGTACACCTGCGGCATGCTCTCGGTCCTGCTGGGAAGACAATCGGGGGAAAGAGCGAGCCTTAAATCGTCGCGACCTTGCATGGAGATGGCGGCTGCTGCTGCATGCCTTGTGGGCTGCCGCGTGTGGCCAGTGGGCTACCGCTTACAGGCGGCTCTTGTGTGGAGCGCCTCACAGTCCTCTTGCAGGGCACTCTGCTGCTGCTGCTGTGTCGCTGACTTTTGCTGCTTGCGTTGCGTTGCGTTGCGTTGCGCCGCGACTGTGACTCCCTGTTGACCGCGTCGCAGTGGGCATCTCACGCGCGCGCGAGTATGCGCCCACACCCAAGTAACCGGCCTCATCAGCAGCACAACACTCAAGACTGCAGCTGCTGCTGCTGCTGCGATTCAAACTCTTTGTTCCGTGATTCTTGCCATGGCTGACGCTTCCGTTCAGGGGAGCGTGCATGTCAAGCGTGCATTCTTGATTCGTGATTCGTGATTCGGCCCTGCACTTCCGGAGTTCACGTGACTCATTGACTATATGGTCAGTCAAGTTTCAAGTTGTGAGTCGTGAGTGGTGAATCATGCAGAATCAAGAATACACCGACCGGCCAGCAGCAGAGATGCATGCTGATCAGCTAGGTCTCGATGCAGTTTCGACGTCTTCGATTCACAGTCTTCAGTGGTGATATCAAATGCTGGTCACTCCTTTTACACTGATGATAGAGAAAACACAAAGCAGAGATATCGTGAAGCACAGCCCTTCGACGTGCTGATTGACTTCAGACTGAAAGCGACGGTCGGCAGAAATGGCGTAGGTGAGTCGTGGTGGATCGCAAGGACAGTCTCGCAGTCACGCGGATTGATCATGCGCGGCCTTGTGGTGCGGCGATGGAGGGCCGATCAGGCTTCCATCGAACTTTGTGCTTTCGGTACGGCCTTGGACAGACCCCGAAAGGCGTCCTCTTTGCTTTTCATGCTGTCTCCCACGAGTGTGTATCAGGTTGACCTCGATGCATCAACGCGGAACTTCGCACGACTGATGAGGCGCTGAGGATCGGGAAGTTTGGGAAGCTGGACTTGTGAGCTGAGGCGGGTCTGAGTCATGCCAATGCCTCCAATTACAAGAATTTGGGAGTATTGGTAAGCCTGCATGGTGCTGCTGGTGGGTGTGCTCCCCAAAACGAGCTATACGGTGTCAGGAGGCGAGCAGTCACGGGTCAGAGTGAGATTCAAGCCAAGAGTCAATCGTGAATACGAATCAACAAGTTTGAATCAAAGAACAGCAAGAAGTCAAGAGTAACAACGGTCACACTCCAAAGTCACGAGTCTTCGATGAGTCATGATGAGTATGCGCGGTCGATCTCGAACGATCCTCCCCGCCTCCACCTGAGTCAGATAGCGGCGATTTTAGCGTCTTCCATTTCAAATGAGAAGCCGAGCCGGAAGTTTGAAACCTCAAACAAAATGTTGAACTTCAGCATTTGATTCAAGATTGTGTTCGAGCAGCCTACGGCGAATTTGTTATTGCGCAATAACGATTTGAAATCTTCTGATCCCCAACCATTCATCCGCCGACGCAGGGATCCTTCATCTACATCGCCGTCCATACCCATCTTGCCTTCCCCTTCTGCGACCCTCATCACCGCGCTGCTAGCGCTCTAGGATCGACGTCAGCTTCTCAGGGCTCGACTGACACTGCTACTCGTACTCCCGTTCTAGGAGCACTCTGGTAATCTGTAGCTGGTGCTTATCAAGCATATCTGACACGCTGCAGACGCCCATATAGCAAGCAGCGCTCGCTCCATGCGTCATTCTTGATTCAGCTTGCTGCCATCCAAGCGACTCTTCAACTGTCAGAGCTCTTTTCCTTACGCGTACAGACACCGAGCGCGTGCTGCAGAGACGATCAGGATGGTTTCGAGTATGAGAAGGCCATCTCCCTCGCTGCTCGGGCTACCCGTAGAGACCTTGCTGGCTATCCTCAGGCGCTTATCAGCAGAGGAGCTGCACGTCCTTGCCGCTTCATGCGGCACGCTTCGGAATGTCGTCAAGACAGCTGATCACATTTGGCTGCCACTTTTGGCGGACGTGTTGGATGCATCTCCGCCCTCCAAGTCCCACAACCTTCGGGCATTATCCTCACGTCAGCAGCTACCACCGTGGGATCCGCATTTCGGCTCCATTGGGTATCTCTCTCCAGCATCGACCGACCCTTGGCCCGTCTCACGAGCTGATGCAGAAGCAAACTCGAGCGCACAGCCATCAGCTTGTCTAAGGAAAGAGAGCTTCGAGGATGCTCAATCCCTGCACGACGTTTGGTGCGCCTTCGTGGCCCCGTGGAGGGCGACCCTTGGGTGGTGGGCTGGTGATCAACCAAGCTACGGTTACATCATCAGGGTAGTGCTCGACCCTCACTTTGATCCGGAAGACCAAGAGCGGCAGACAGCTGGAACGCTCACGCGGGCAGAATTTGACGCGCAAAGGACCGGACCTACCGCTCAACTTTCTGAACCTGCTTCGGTGCTTCACCATGCCAATGCAGACCGAATGGCAACCTCAAGCGCCGACGCTGGTGCGCGCCTCGCGGCATCGAGAAGAAAGCATCCGGCTTTTGTATGTCAGAAGATTCATCTAGTCAATCGCTTGCACGGCATGATCCCTCACGCGCAGCCGGTTTACGCTGCTCCAGGCGATGGGTCGCCGCCAATGTCAGTTGAGATGGGTTTTGATCGCGCGCAAAGAGAAATCTCCTGGTCCACTGCGACATCTTTCGCCATTCCTCACATCGCAGTGCCTTCGAGTGATGGCACTGCTCTCCGCAGCAACGTATCCGTCGACCTCTCTCTGCCTGGTGTTCGCACAGAAACGCTCTGGAGCCTCAGCTGGCCAACAGTTAGAGAACAATGGAAAGCCCATCTTCAGCGCTCCGACCAACCTGCAGCAGAGGGTTCTAGCAGTGCAAGCGCCGGTAGCAAGTCTCGCGAAGCCACTTCCGATAGACAGGGTGCTCGCTCAGCCGCAGCCGAAAGACACTGGCTGGATGTCAGCGAAGATGAAGACGATGCCGCATCTGGAAGGTTCGCGGTGCCTGCACGTCACTATGTAGCAGGACACGATCCGCTCGACGTGGCTGCCGAGCTTGGTTTAGCCAATGAGGACGTCCTTCTTACTTCTTCCGCAGAGAGGGCCTCTCCATCTCGTCCAGAAGAGTTGAGACAGCTTGAGACGGCGTGGAGCGGAACATCGGACGAAGCTGACGTACCTCACGTAGGCTACGTGCATGGTCCCGCTGCTACTGGACGAGTGCGGGTGATGCGTCTGTCGGCGGGCGAATTCAGACATGTCACCTACATCGAAAGTGGAGCTGTAGCTACCCGACGCGGTGGTGTGGGACGAGCATCGAGGGGTGATCATACATGTGATGAGGTGACGATTGCTGTTCAAGACGTCTCTCTGGCTGCTTTAGCCAGTAGACCCTTGCCTCCCGAACTTCAGGACGATTTCCCGGCTTCAAGTGCCCTTGACGGCGGACGTCGCGGCAGCGTCATTAGCGAGCAATTGGCATACATGCTTGACGAAAGAAGGCTGGCTCCTAGAGAAGCTTTGCCCTTCCCAAGCAAAGGGCTTCAAGCTGCCCTGCGTCCTTCGGAGTCGCATGATCTGCGCGTTGGAGCTTTGCGCAGCAGCCCACCAGGTCAATCACTAGCTCTGCGCATGAGGATGAACCCCGCTCCGCCCTATAGAGCTTGGCCCTCGCTCAGCCAGCCCATGCCTGAAGGTCCGACCTTTTACGCTATCAAATCACCGCCTCGAGCACCAATACTAGGTCCTGGGGTGCTAGATTCTACCGCGCTCAACGCTGACAGCTACAGGCATCAAGCACCTCTCAGACACCAAGATCCCGCGATGACGGGGTTCGACTGGTCTCTGGTCGAAGGATTGTACGCGAGCAGTTACGGACCTTGGGGCCTCGAACTGCTCTACGTCAGGTCTCGTCTTCTGACGGAAGCAGATTTTGACGTCCTCACCGATTCCAAAAGCATGGGTCTAGGTCCTTCGCAGTGGGTGTCCCCTGTCGACGCGACACGTCCGATTTCACCCGCGAGCAGAGCAGAGACCTCCCTTTCGGATCCGAGCATGTATGCCGGCACGCAAATCGGCATCAACCAGGTGCAGCCAGGTGTGCGAGTCTTGGAAGGGCTCAAGGTGACGGGCGATCCTCACGTCCCCCGAGGTCAAGTGACTTTTAGAGCTTTTGTAGACGACCCTGCTAGACGAGGAACGCCTTGGCGACCACCGCCTAGAGGATTCAGGAACCATACACCTTGGCCCTTCAGGGCTCCTGAAGAAGCTTTGGATTTCGATCCAGCCACTGGGCCTGTAGATACCCGCACACCAGGACTAGTCATTCCAGGCCACGGACGTTTAGCTGGCGAGGGCTTCGTACGCCCGGGCTGGGTGTCCGCAGTGGTAAGTCCTGCAACACCGTTCGCCTACTCCCTACATGAGTACTTTCTTGAACTAGTGTCGCTAATTTCTGCCGCAACTTGTCACAGATTCACGTCTCTTCGCCCGACCTGTTGCGAATTTGGTGGCACCCAATGATGAGCGTCGCGACTTGCGTCAAATTGACTGCGTGCTGATCGACGCCCGACGAGCAGTCTGCGCTCGAGAACCTTTCCGGCTCCGCCCGTAGTGCGTTCAAGCAGGCCATCCAATTACTTCGCCGCGATCATCGCTTGCGATCGAGTTGCCACCTGTGCAGCAATCAGGACGCCTAGGTGTGTTCAGGCCAATGTCGGGGAAATTCCGTGGGAACTGACCATCTGCGCACTTTTTGCGATATCCGTGCTGCATCGACTTTCCTGATAGGACACGCATAGTTCTTGCGTGTGCTTCAGTCTCAAACGTTGTCTTGACAGAAGAGGGACTGCTGCGATCCGCTTCAGCTATTCTCTTGCCGCTTTCAGGTCCCAAACCAAACGTCTTCGGCGTGCGTGCGCTCCTTCTTGCCCCCACGTCTGGATCACTGTCAGCTCACTGCATCACCACGGTCTCCCAAACAACGTCAGCTCAAAGCTGAGGCTGCAAAGCGCCAATGAGTCGCGCGAACATTTGGCTTTTAGCGTTCCTCTTTGATGTTTTCTATCCTACTACTGCCAGCAACGTGAGTGCTGCTATTTGTGCATTCCCGGGCACTTGCTGATGCAACGTGCTACTTGCCTAGTCCAAGTTCAGACAAGTTGGTGATCCTTACATCAATTTCAATGATTCACCTGGTATGCCTATCACCTCCGAAAGACGCGAGGAGACGCGTTGCGCAGTAAATCACTACTGGCGAGCAGTGTGCCCCGAAATGACTCGTTTTGATGTGAGTGATGGCGCAAGCGACGCTGTCGCGAATGCGGCGCTTTCATCTGGTCCAGGTCGTACTGCCTTGACCGTCTTTGCTATGTTGCTGTCTTGCTACAGACTGACGAGACCAGCACTTCTCATGCCTAGCTGAAAGGCCCGTGGCATACGTCTTTCCGCGATCCCTGGGTGCATTTGACAGGTGTCGCTAGGAATCGCGGGCGAGGAAAGCTTCCATCGCCGGTATACACCGCTACAACGATACACCATATTCATCTTGCGCCGGGTCAGACGCACGTCGATAACAGCGGGCAGGTCCAGACGTCCCCTTATGATGATGCGGCGCTGCGTGCCGCTGCCGAAGCTGAGATAGGCTCTAGCTCTCCCAGATTGGAGCGCGAGAGGACCCTCGCTTTGCTGCGCTCGGTCAATATACTCAAACATGACGGATCTCAACAATCAAAGTCGCACCGGGTTGGTGGTCATGGTCCTGCTGCGCCTGTAGGCTCGGACCGGAACATAGCCAAAGCAAGGTCGCCTCGTCAGGCTCGTCAAATAGAGCATTTCTCGACAATCAACGCTTCTGGTCGTACGCCTACTGCAGCTCATTCTTTAGGCGTCGGCAAGTCGGATCAAGTCTCTCATGCAGATCTGCTCTCGAATGGCGATGGGGCCTCTAATACTGCACGGGGTACCTTCACGAAGGCTGTTGCGTCACAAGAGAGTCGTGATGCGTTTCCTAGTCTCCCTCAGCGGAGTCAAGACTCTGGGCTGCCGGCGCAATCCTCTGTTCGAGATATTAGCGCACCCGCGCCGAGCCGCTCACCTCCAGAACTCAGCTGGTCTCAGGTGGCAAGGGGAGCTGCGGCCCGTTACCGCGCAGGAAGCATGTCTATCAGCGGCGCGAAAGTTGCTGAGGACTTAGCCTTACACGTTGCTTCCAATTCCCAAAGAGGATCTCGGACTTTGCAGAGCGCAACACCTACAAGTCATGCGAGCGCGATGGAGCGGCCAGAGGGAGTTCCAGAGGCGCGCAAGAATGACGCTAGAGGGCACAAGTTTCCGAGCAGCAGCAAGTTGAGCAATCCTCATACATCTCATCTAGCCAAGGCTACAGCGACTGGGCGGCTCTCTTGGTCGGAAGTCGCTGGTCGGTTGGGACAAGACGTGACCAGCGGAAAGCTTCATGGCACGGTCAAACGGCTGCCTCGATGAGCTCACTAGCTTGTAAGCCTGCGATGTGACATCAGAAACCTTGCGCAGCTTCGTCTCAGCCGTGCGAGGTCAATGCTTCAGCCAATGCGTAGTCCCAGCGCATGATTTGAGGCTCGATCAAATTCAAAGGGACCAGGGCATTCGTTTGAAAAGCGACGCTTTCCCGAAAATATTTACGCGCATATCTCGTGGTCTTCGTCCCGTGCTAGACTACCGCTTGTTCTGGCCTGCAAGAACAACCAGCTCACACTGAGCGCACCATAAGACGTACCTACCGCAAATAGTCCCCGCGATTTCATTCAAGTCTGCTTTGGTCACTAGCGATTGGCGCAGCGATTGACGCACTACCCCTGAATGCCTTGTGTCATGATCCGGATTCGGTCTTACGAATGAACGCTTTTGCCTACCGACTATCAGCAGCCGTTTAGATCACGCAGTGAGGGTCCGTCGAGTTGAAGCTCGGGAGGCAGGTGAGCGCGACAAGTGTCACGTGACTGTGCTGGCACGAAGATTCACGATGGTGCTGTGTCGTAGTTTTCTGCGTTCCGCGCATGGAGGAGAAACTCGCAATTTGATTCTTGATTGTGCTTGTTACAGGTGGAGTACGGGTAGATGTCTTGCTTTCTACAAGTGTCTCCTCTTCCATCACGCGAATTCCGCAGACGGAGCATCGCACAGGCACCCGCATACCACTGCCGCCATGCTCACAGTTCAAAGACCCGCGGCACGGTCCAGAGGAGCTCTCCTGAACCTGCTCTCTGCTGGGGCTACTCCCGGAGGCTCGATCTCTGCTCGCACACATGCCGTGTGCCCTTATTGTCCCCCCTCAGCCGTCATCAAGCGTCATGCAAATCTGCCTCTGTGCAGTTCGCCCCACTATTCAGCTTTCTCAACCACAGCCTCGCAAAGCGACGAGCAGAGATCTCCAAATACGGGCGGCAGACTGGGCGCTGATGTCTCCAGCTCGGGCGTCAATATGGGCATAGGCATTGGCAGCAGCGCTCCTCCAGGCGGGTTTGTCAGCAAGAAAAGGCAGCCCATCCCCGCTCGTCCGACAGAGAGGCCCAAGGAAGAAAGCTCGCCCGCTCCATCAAGCCAAAGACCGCCTTTCTCGAGAGAGCGGTCGGCGTCTCAACCCCGAGCACCGCATCAATCTAGTGGCGGCCAGCAAGGGCAGCAAAGGCGACCGCGCGAAGTGGGTCGTAGCGATCAGAGATGGAATGGTCAGCCGAGGGGCAGCTCGTCAAGTCAAGGTCAAGCCGCTGTCAATGTTGACGGGGTGACGCCGGGCAAACGCCTACCTCCTCATCTACAACCGCGTAGAAGCCACGGCTCAGAGTTTGGAGACAGAAGTCGGGGTCCACGAGAACACTCAGACCAGCGCTACCAGCGGTCGTCTCGGACAGATGCAGGGCGAGTTCGACCGGATCTTGATCGAAGCAGGCCGCCGGCCGGGCCAAGGCTCGGTAGCAGCCCACAATATGGCATGGAGAATGCGCAAACGCGACGAAGGGACCAGGGCGCCAACAGCGCGAGGGAGAGAGAATACGACAATAGCACTGCGGAGCGGGACCATCGTGATTTGGATGGAAGTTTGGTCGGGACTGCAGAGGCAGATGAGGGCCAGACCCTAGAGAATGCTGAACTATCCATCGGAAGTCAAGCGCAGGGGAGAATCGCTGCGCGAATGGCGGAGCAACAGCGCAAATCAGGATCGGACCGCTCCCCTTCATACAAATTGCGAAGAGAGCGCGAAGAGCTGGAGCGAGAGCAGCAGCAACAATTGAAGGATTTGGAGGCGCGGGCCCAAATGCGAGCCGGCAAAGCCGACAAACGAGTCGTCTCGGCTGAGCCGATCCGCACGGAGCTTGGCCTGCCTGCATTCATGACTGTTTCGAGCTTGGCAAAAGCGATTGGCACAAGGATGCGACTTTTGCAAAACAACATGACCGCTGCCGGGTATGAAGACACCAGGCCGGACCTGCTCTTGCCTTTCGATGACGCTGCCCTGCTCGTCTCAGAGTATGGCTTGACGGCAGTGCCACTGAACTCCCAGTCGGACGCCTTTGACATCTACCCATCACCGCCATTGCCAGAAGATCAGCGAGCTCAGACACCTCTCAGACCTCCCGTCGTCACTATCATGGGACACGTCGATCACGGAAAGACGACGTTACTAGACAAGCTGCGAAGCGCGAGCGTGGCTGCTGGCGAGGCTGGCGGCATCACGCAGCACATTGGCGCATTCAGCGTGCCCGTAAGCCAACGTCAAGGGTCGAGCAGCAGCGGTGGTGTCGATACAGTCACTTTTCTGGACACACCCGGACATGCTGCATTCTCGGCCATGAGGGGCAGAGGCGCAGCAGTCACCGACATTGTCGTGCTTGTGGTTGCGGCGGATGATGGCGTCATGCCACAGACTAAAGAAGTTATTCAGCTTGTCGAGTCGCTGCGCGAGGAAGAAGCAGCGACGTCTGCACGGCGACGCAAAGTCCAAAATGCAGATGTAGACCAGCAAGCTGCAAGCAAGAAAGAAGAGGAGGTCGAAGAATCGACCGAGCGACCGACTGGCTTGCAGCTCGTTGTCGCACTCAACAAGACTGACAAGACCGATGCAAATGTAGAGCGAGTCAAGAGCGAATTGATGTCGAACGGTGTGCACCTCGAGGAATATGGCGGTGAAGTGCCCTGCGTGGAAGTATCAGGAAAGACGGGGGCTGGTCTCCCACTCCTGGAGGAGACTTTAGCCGCGCTGGCGGAGATGGCGGATCTCAGGGCCGAACGCGACGGCATTCCCGCAGAAGGATGGGTCGTAGAGTCGCGCACCGACAAAGGACGAGGAAACACCGCAACTGTTCTGGTGAAGCGCGGCAGCCTACGAACCGGGGACTTTGTCATAGCAGGACAAAGCTGGGCTCGTGTTCGTGCTCTGCTGGACTCTGCAGGAAAGCCAACGAAGAAGCCAGCTTTCCCTGGAGATGCGGTGGTAGTCACCGGATGGCGAACGCTTCCGAGCGCTGGGGATGAGGTTTTGGGTGTAGTGGACGCTTCCGACGGTAGCTCTAACGCCGAGACGCTCGCGAAGCGCGCAGTAGAGACCCGCCAGGCCATCGAGGAGAGGCGCAAGCTGATCAAGGAGGCAGAAGGTATCAACGACGCTCGACGTCTGCGTGCGGAAGAGGAGGAGGCGCAAGCTAGAGCAGCGTACGAAGAGAGAGCAGCGCGAAGACAAGCAAGATTGGAGGCTTCTGAGCTTGGTCTGACTGCCGAGGAGTACGCAAAGCAAGCGCAACAGGCTCTGGACAAGGCAAAGGCAGCAGGAAAAGAAGCTCTGCCAAAAGATGAGGTTGAAAGCGAAAAGAAGGAACTTCGACTCATCGTCCGCGCCGATTTCTCTGGTACTGTTGAGGCTGTCGTTGGTGCCATTTCAGGCATCGGCAATACAGAAGTAGGCGTCAAGATCATAGCGCAGGGCGTTGGTGATCCTACCGACGGAGACTTGGCCTTAGCTCAAGCAGTGCAAGGTGAGTCAAGAGTGCATGAGCACTCATTGCCAATGCCTGACATTCGTCTCGCTCACAACTCGTACTCCCGCGCTGCCTTCTATAGGTCATATTCTTGCATTTAACGTCAAGGCGTCGAAAGCCATGCAGAACGCTGCTGCGAAGAGTAGTGTCAAGATTCAGGCAGATGACGTCATCTATCGCCTCATGTCCTGGGTGTCGGCAGAAGCCTCTGCATTGCTACCGCCAAGGATAGAGACGCGCGTGACGGGCGAAGCCATCATTGCGCAGATCTTTAGCATCGCTGGCAATCGTCGAACGGCCAGGAACATCGCGGGTTGCAGAGTCACGAATGGAAGCATAACCGCCAACACTCTTGTACGCGTCATGAGAGAGAGGGGTGGTCGAAAGCAGGACGAAGAGGAGGATAGGAAAGTGCTTTGGCAGGGAAAGCTGCAAGAGCTCAAGCATGGCAAGCGCGAAGTTGATGAGATCAGGAAGGGCACAGAGTGCGGGATGAGCTTTGGCGACGCTTTCCAAGACTTCAAGGAGGGCGACATCATACAGGCTATCAAAGAGGTCGAAGTCAGTAGGACTCTCTAGACAACCACCTTTGACTTTGCTGTGATCGCTCCGCGCCCCCGCTAGAGTGCCGCTTGGCGTCAGAATGAACATTGCTTTCATGCCATGATCCGCCTGGCACCTTTCGTTGCATCCGCTTACGTGGCACTTGTTCCAGCTATAATGCATGCTATTGCAACAGAATTTTGACGCGGCCGTAGTCGCTAGGATCAAAGTCCGCTTGGGACCCGCGGCCAGATCTGATGGATCTTTGAAAGTTCAGGCCATCCCACGCGGACAGGGAAGGTCCCAGGCTAAATGTGCCCACCTTCGCATCGTCGGCCAGATCAAAAGCACTGACACTGGCTAATCCTTTGGCAGAATCGAAGGTGCTGCTTCGGGGTAGGCCAGACGTGTCCGTATTGGCTGCCCTTGGCGTGTTCGGGTCGTATCGCGAGTATGCAGAATACGGACCCGCACTCGGCGTAGCGCCCGCATACTCTGGATTGTTACTCTGTCTGCGTGACGTGGGGCGCTGCTGAATGGTATTGCTTGATGAAGTCCTCCTTGCAAAGCCGCTCATTGCTCCTCCGACCGTCCAGCCGCTGGCACCAGCGAAACCTGAAGCCCGTGCCTGCATATCTTCCTCTCTCCAGGTGTCCACATCTGTACTTCTCTCTCCGCTACGTGCACGTTGGTTTGCCTCGGTAGAAGCTACAGGCGCATGACCCACGCGCATCAAAAGAGTGTGCAGCTCGGACCACGGGATACCATACCGGACGCAGAGCTCATCCTCTGAGCGCGTTGCATCAAGCAGCGATGGCAGGTCAGGCGGGACGGACGAAGTACTGGAAGTTGAGCGCTGCGCGTCCGTCTCAGCTCCGTGCGAGGCTGCGCTGGCCCCTGCGTTGTGAGACAGACTCGTCCCTCGGTTCCAAGCGGCGATGCTCGAGCTGCTTCCCCGAGAGCGCAAGGGAGACTGCAGAGGCCGTCGACGGTGACTTCCTTCTCGTGCGCTCTCTCCTTCTGGTCCCAGGTCCAGAGCTACACTGGCCACTTCGATCACCGTTGCTGCAGTGTGCCGATACGGATTCTGTCTGCGTGCGGCAGCTAATCTTCGAGTTGGTGAGGCTCTAGGCGCAGTGCGCTGCGGCGCTTCACCCGTTGAAGAGTCACGTCGCGCGACGCGATTGTGGTGCTGCGAAGATCGGAGTGCATTTCCGGTTTGGTAGTCAAGCCCGGCTGAGACAGGGAACCTCTCTTCCGCTGGGCTGGTGTCTCGTGCGAGACTTAGAGGGCTGGGTGTTTGCTTGCGCTGTGGATTGTCCGATGATCGACTAGCCAAGTTGTTGACTTTCGCGTGCGCATCATTCGTCGAGATTGCTACGTCTTCCAGACGTATCATCGATGGTGAGAGTAGCACCGGATATCTGTGGACGCGGCGAAGAAAGCCCTTGATGATGCCAAAGGAAACGAAGCGTCGAACGTCAATGCCTAGGTCGTCGACGTCGTTCTCTTCGATCCACTCGTGCAGAGTCACGCCAGGTTTCAGAGCCGAATAGAGCGACAAGAGTCTCGGCCAGCTTTGAAGTGGTCTCCCAGGAAGCATCACGTACAGAGGACACTCTGCAATGATGGACTCGTCCGTTGCCATCGTTGCGATGAGGGGCCTCGTAGTGTACATGTTGAAGAATTGGAAGATGTCGATCATTATGATGCAGCCATAGTAGCTGTGTGCGCAAGGCTGCGAACACGTGAGCCTTCGAGACTGCCAACGCTCAGCTACGTCACTCACAGCAGATGCTCCATGCAGGAAATGGCCAAATCTATGTCCGCATCTGCGAGCTGCGAGATGCGCTTGACGTGGTTGATGCCATCAATGAAAGGAAAGATCTGTAGAAGCGCCGTGGTGTTTAGTGGTCCGAAAGACATGCGGTTGCACTTCGGGGCGAATACTCACTTTGGCCATGGTAAGGTCCCAGTTCGCGTCTGCGTAGCGCGCAAGATCTATCAACGCGAGAGGGACCTGCCACTCGTAGACGGGAGGAGGGTTCGCATAGGTGGGAAAGAGCTTCAAGTTAATTGCGTCTCTTACTGTCCGTCCGAGACCATGTGGAGCTTCTCTCTTTCCGGGCCCTAGGATGTGTGCAGGTGCCACAGCGCCTACGCTGATCGACAGTGGTAATGGTATTGTAGGCACTGAGCGAGCAGAGTGAGGAGTTGTCGGGACCTTCAGGGGCGCGGCGCCCGCTTCACGAGCGTGGCTAGAATTGCTGAGAGCTTGCCTCCCCTGTAGAGACGTCTGAACGGCATCAGCAGCAGGAGAAAGTGCAGCAGAGGAGCCGCTAGCAATTGTGAAGTTTTGAGCGATGCCGGCGGCATAAAGTCTGGAATCTGTATGCTGCGGCAGCTGTTTGGAAATGTCATCGCTTTTGGCACGCAGCATCGGAGCAGAAGCAGCTGGTGGGACACCTTTCGCATCAGACTCGGGTCCGGTCAATGTGCTGACCACCGCACTAGTCAAACCGACAGCTGCCTGAGTCTTGCTTCGGCCGACGACAGGCCTTGCGTTGTAGCCCAGCTCCGAGGAGCCTTTTGACCTGTTGCTCAGCGCTCTGCCCACGGACGGCCGGTGCATACTGGAAGCCATCTCACTGAGATCTCCCTCTGAGCCGGAACTAGAGGAGGACGAGGCTAGCGCAGAGGTCGCCAAAGAGTCCCGCCGCACAGCTGGAGAGGCTGACACGCTCGTCTTCGATCTCCTTGGGCCAGAGGGGCGCTGCAGGCCCGATTGAGCCTCGAGAGACTGCCCTGGCGCGGCTGGCTCGAATGCAGCATCTGTTGAGCTGCGCGCAAATTGTGGAGGAGCCAGAGAGTTACTGGAAGGCGAAGCTTGGACCATGCGAATGCCATTGCTGCTTCCGGCACTGTGGGCCCCACTGCTTCTACGTCTGCTGGCAAGAGCTGCTTCAAGCTGCGCACGTTCCGCTGGCTGCAATGGGTTTGAAGGACCCCAACTGCTCAGACTATATCGCGCAGTGGCGTCAGGCAGGGCACTTTCCTTGCCGTCAGGGCTTGTGATACCATGCAGGAAACGAGAGTGTGGAGCATCGGGAAGAGCTATGAAGGTCTCACAATAAGAGTTGAGATCTTCGTATAGCTGCTCGATGATGCCATACATCCGCGTCTGCGACACTGGAGAAGACAAGAACGAATTTGTTTGCTGCGCATCGCGTGCCACGTCAGCGTCGATTGAAGTGCATAATGCCAGATATGCAAGTGCAGCTACTCACCTCGAGCGTCTTGAGCTGGCGCACGCATTTGCGCACCACTGGTTCGTAGGCTCGAACATCTGCAGTGCCATCGAAGAGGAAGGCAACGTTGAAGAGGAAAGTGTTGCGGGAGTATTTAACTTCGTCGGTTATGAGCGTGGGGTGGGAGAGGACCTTGAAGGTGGAACTTGTGCTGGTTCCTGGGTGGTACGCATCCATGTCCATACCATCTATCTCGTTCGAGAGGGAGCCGTTGTCGATGCTTTCATTACGCCGCAGAGAGTCTCTGGACGCCGAGCGGCTTTGGGCAGTGCCGGACAGCAAATCTTTCCTGGCTTGGCGCTCGACATCCGCTCGCGACGATGAGCGACACCTCGACCGCTGATGCTTCGCTGCAGCGAGCTGAGCAGCCTCTGATCGTAGGCGACCACGATTGAGTGCTCTCGCGGTACACGTGACCAGTCGACCACAGAGCGGCTCTTTCGGGATGATAAAGTCTGCGATGGTGTTCCAGTCCACAAGAGGCGGGGGAGTAATGTCTGTGACCTTTCTGGCGCGGGTGCCAGGGGGTCCGGGAGCTGCGGCATGGGCTACCAACGAGCCTTCTGGCACTTGGTAGACGACCTTGGGACCCTCTGATGCATGGAAGATGCAAAAGGCAACTGACACCAGGCGCGGAAGGAACTGTTCGTCTATGATTGCTGGGCTTGGCTCGGGCGAGCCGGATAGGTATGACGACGAGTCTGCTGAGAAGTCTGACTCTTCCTCCTCGCCGTGCGTAGGCCCGCGTCTTTCGACAGACTCTGCGCGAGTGGAAGGACCAGCATTCTGGTTGTTCACAGTCATGATGGGTGGAACAGAGTAGGCTGGATTGTCGCCGCCTTCTGCGATGCCGCTGAGATGCCTGGCAAGCGCAGCAGGGGCGTCGCGGATGGCGCGGGCCAGGTGTGATTCGTGGGTATCTCTATCCCATGCTTTTGGGCCTATGTTGCACTCGACTGCATGCACTCAGACTACTGCACCACAGCGACCCGGACGTATCGTTATGAGGTCGAAAGAAGAAGCGACCAAGTGAGCCGAGTGTCTGAATGAGGATAGTGTCGGCCAGCAGCAGCGAGTTGTCGAGCTGTGAAGCAATCACTGCCACTACTTGTTGGCAATCACAATCAACTGGACTGCGAACACAACAGGGCTTGACGCCATCCATCTGCATATGCTCGCTCACTCATGTACGGTATTCGTCGACACACAACCTTGACTTGCAAGGCGGTGTGGAGCAACACAGCGGTCACGTGCTCACCCTGTTATCGCAAGAATCAAAATCAAGAATTTGAATCTATCGTCAATAAAAATAGAATCAATGAACGAATCTTGAATGCTGTCGAGCAATCAGAATCAAAAGTCACTCAAAACTCACTCTCCTCGGCTGCATGCTGCTGCTATTTCATTGACAGGCTGCTCTGATGCTTGATCGATGGCCGCAAGGCAACTCAAGAGCGCGGGTTTTCACGCGTGCTGCGTGCAAGCTGCAGCTTGCGTCTTCTTGATCCGCAAAGCCACACACGTACCCATAGCAGCTCGACTGTGTCCAAGAGCCGTGACGTGACCACGAGTCGCCCGGATAAGGAGTCTGCTGGTGGAGTCACAGCTGCTGTCGGAGGGTCACGAGTGTGGCCGCACGCAACGAACCCTATAGCAGCAGGCCGCGAGACAGCAGCAAACCGCGGCATCTAGCTGCTGCAGCACGCATATACTGTAGGCGCGGCTTGGTCAGAAGCCAAGGCGCGCCGCGCGCACGCGGCAGATCACGCAGAGGCGTGCATGTGTGTACACGGGTTTCACGTTGTGTGCCCTGCCCTCGTGTGCACACACGTATGATGGCGATTGCTCACGATTGCACGCACTCACGACGCATGCTTGCCTCTGCGGCTGCTGCATGCTTGCATATGAAGCTGCGTGGAGCAAAGGAACTCATCACACTTTGTCAAACCTCTCTCTGGCGGGGCGTGTTTGGCGCGATCGATCATCATCGGCAAACAAGCTGCTGCTGTCCGCCTCCACCCTCCAACTCAGTCTTGACTACCACGTCACTTGACTCTCGAGCGCTACTTCACTGCTTCTCATGTTGCTCTATTCTCTCCCTCTGCATCGTCCTATCGCTGTTCTTTGCGTAACGCTTGATCAGATCAAACAAGCAGAGCGCAGCCTGTTCACCTGCTAGAAAGGAAAATTAGCGCATACAGTCCAGCCTTAGACCAGCTCCTACCTCCTCGCCCACTCTCTGATCTGTATCATGGCACCTGCTCCCGGTAGCGACCCGCCATCTCGTTTGGACAATGAGGCCGGGCCTAGCAACTCACCACCTGCGAGCACGTCCTCAGCTCCTACCAACGCACACGAAGGCCCAAAGATCTGTGCACGCTGCGGGCAGCCCCTTCCAGAGAGCAGCGAGGCGGTGTCAGCAGGTGCTGCGCTTCCACACCCTTCAGGGTCTTCGCTCCACGCGTTCTCGACTTCTTTGGGTGCCCCAAGTCCTTCATCGATAGCCTTTGCGCCGCCTCCAGCGACACATTCGGATCAGAGATCTGCCGAGCAGCAGAGAGCCTTTGAAGCCGAGAGCATCATCATGTGTGCAGAGTGCCGGATAGCGCACGCGTCGAATGTGCCAAGGGTACCGGTAACCTCAGTGGACAATCGTAGTCACGCAACTCGACCCGACGTGCAAGATGATCCGTTGTTGATAGGAAGCGCTGACGATGATGCGCAGATCGGCACCGGGAGTCGGACAGACCCTCGGTCCGTGCCAGCCACTCCTTCGCGAAGGCCTGAAATGACTCTGCCTAGAAACGTGAGCGAGGCCAACATAAGCAGTGAAAATCACAGAAGATGGACGGGCGATGGCGCGCAAAATCAGGAAGCTTCAGCCTCGGCATCTGAGAGGGATCGCAATTCGGATCATATGGACTTCTATTCGGATCCTTCCCAAGGTAGCGCCTCTTTACGCAGAGAACCATTCACGGCAACTGATGCGCAGGTTGGGCCTCTCGCATCTGCTCAAGGCGCGGCCGGTGACGAGGCAAGGGAACCAGCAGTCGTCCACGAGATCATACAAGCATCTGGACCGCTCGTCAGAGCGCGCACATCGAGCTTTTCAAGGTCGCTTCATTGGCCCATCGGTGAGGCAGCTTCGAGCTCAAGATGGTCGAGCGATAGTATTCCTCTGGTCTCGATACCTCATTCGAGGCGGGAGACGTCCGAAGAGCAACTTGACGCGGACAAGCAGCCCGATGGCGCTATGGAGGCCGAGGTCCATGCGAACTCAGACCCAGCAACTGGAGTTTCCTTGAGAGACGCCAAGTCGCGCGATGCCACGAGCAGCCACAAGGATCCAAATTCGAAGATGATCGACTCACAGTGGCGGTCTTGGAATCACTATTCCCCGATTGGCCCGGACCCGCGTGCTGACACCAGCCGGCTCAGGATGCGTAGCAGAGGCAGGGGCTGTCTCGTGCCTGGAGCGACTTTCGTTGGTACGCAAAGAAGCGGTCGTAGCACTTACGAGGTTGGCGTGCAGATTGTGGTGAGTGCCGGCGCTCAAGAGCCAGGCCGCTCTTGCAGCTGCCGCGGCGTTCTTGGGACGGTAGGCCTCTCGTCACGCGTGGCGCACAAGTTGACGAGTCGTTGACACTGTCTGCCTTTTTCAGAATGTGGACTTGGAAGCCAGTCATCTCTGCGGCTATCTCAACATCCGCGGTCTCACCGAGGACTGGCCCGAGTTGACCACTTTCTTTGACGCCGAGATCATTGGGGATCGTCACAGCTTCGTCACCAACAAGTGGGGTGCAAAGGAGGCAAACGACATGACGCACTGGGTATGTGTCGCGGACAAGGCTTCTCGGACACGTTCGTAAGAGTGAGCGCTGATTGCATATTACACCGTGGCTCTCGTTAGGCTCGCTTCAGCCCTTTCAGATCTTTGCGCAACAAGCTTGACAAGACAGGTCTTTTTGATCACATGACCAAACCCTACGTCTTCATGCGGTGGAAGGAGCGCTTTTTGGTGCCGGATCATCGCGTGAGAGATATTCACGGGGCAAGTTTCGCTGGATTCTACTACGTCTGTGTCGAGCTGGGCGAATCTTCGACCTCAGCTGCTCGGGCTTCGGCAGCTGCCCTGGTTGCGTCTTCTGGCGCTACACAGCAAGACTTTCCCGGCTTCATATCCGAATCAGATGCCAATTCGACGCAGACGCGCAGAGGTCAGACGACCCTTGGAGGTAGCGCAATGATGTTGGATGAGGACGAAGAGGAAGAGGTGGACGCCGATCCTAACTTTGATGCCCTGAGTCGTTCTGCGCGCGAGCCTCTTGTTCCAGGTCGAATGACGGGATTCTACTATCATGCAAACTCAGAGCCGTAAGTGTGGCTTGCTTTGCCGATTAGGGTATGAGGATGGAGCTGACTCTGCATGCTTGGTCTTTGCTTTTGCCATCACACTTGCAGATATCAGCAGTTGGCCCTACAGCATGTTCCCGAACCTTCGTCGGGCACTTTCGAGATGCGCTGAGGCTGCGCTTTCGCGCATCGCACCGTCCTGAAGGCAGCAATTGCAACTCGTCTGTGCGCGGTGTTCCGCCTTTTCCAAGCTACCTCGACTAAAGCTTCATGACAAATTTACTCACACTGTATTCGCAACGGGTGTTACAGCGCAGACAACACTCATCATCATCATACCAGAAGCGCCCGCAATCTTCGCCAAGCCCCCACCCGCAGCTCTTGTTTGCCCGCAGTTGGATCTAGGTCGATTACAGTATTACTCTGCGCTGCTCTCTCTGTACTCGGTGTTTCTCGTGGCTCTTTTGCAATCCATATTCACCGCATTGGATGTAGTTAGGAAGCGTCAGATGATGTACCTGTCACAATCAATCGCGTCGAGACGTCAAGCGCATAAAAGCATTGCATTGCATTGCCCTTTGTGGACGCGTGACAGCTCTTGCCTATGTTCTGGAGCCGTCTACTCGTCCGACCTGAATCGCATCGTGTTGTTTCCACCCATCTGTCCAGCGTCCGAAGCGTAGCCGGTCGGTCTAGCTCTAGCAGGATCAGGAGAGATCTGATCCAGCCTGTCGCCCAGCTTGAGCGTCGTCCATTTGATCACGCGAGGATCTGCCCTCAACCTGGATGAAAGCGTGCCGAGCACCCTGGGATTTGTGTCGAATTGGAGAAAGAAATGACTGCAAGGGGCGAAGGGGATGAGCGTGCGGTCAGCACGAGACCATCGAAATTGCTGAGGGCGAGGTTTGGGATGATTTGACGTCTGAGCACGACAGGCAGAGAGTGCGCGATGCGTGGCTGATTTTCCAATTGAGCAGGAAATTCCCAAGACCACACATCTGAGCGTCTCATGAAGGGGGGCGGGGGGAGAATGTGATGTGCCTTTACGAGGACATTCCACGCAAGCGCATATAAGGTCACTCCACGCAAGCGCATATAAGGTCACTCCACGCAAGCTGCGTATGCGCTCAAGGGAGCGCATAGCCACTCTGTGAGGCCAGTCGGACCGCCATGTCTTTTGCCTCTTCCCTTGACGCTTCTGAGCACGCTCGAAGCCCATCGCAGGCGAATGTACTCACTCTCCTTGTGAATGCCAAACCTGATGCCTCCTCGTCCTTTGTGGCAAGACTCTCCTTCCCCAGTACTGCACACCCCTGACAGCGCCTCCATGTTCCAGAATCAACGACGAAGTAGTTCGGACCAGATCTCTGATTGGTGCCTGAGTGCGTGGAGGGATGCGCAAGTGTCAGCACGACGAACACTCAAACGATGATCGCTTCGACTCACCGATTCGGCCGATGAGGCGGCGACGCAGAAGAGCTCGTACAGCCTGAATCACGCTCTGTGCGTCAGCACATAGAGTCTCAGTAGACGTGAGCTTGTGTCCACTCACGGCATGCTGGCTGAATCGGCCTTTCCAAAGGCGCGATGTGGTCAGCTCGACCTGGAGCAAGTGGATGCTGTGATGCAGGCGCGATGTGGTCAGCTCGACCTGGAGCAAGTGGATGCTGTGATGCGCAAAGCGTCCCAAGGCCGTGATGCGCAGTCGATGTCCAGGCTTGCTGGCGTTTGTTCTCTTATCTGTGAGCCTACAGAATGTGATTAGCGCCGATGAAATGATGTTGTGTGTGACGATGCTAGGCAAGTCTTTCGTGGGGCTGCAAATTGTGTATGTGGGACCTGGCAAGTAGCAGGGTCTGAGTGCACAAAATCGCTGTCAGAATCACCAATCAACAATGGTGAATCACAACGTGAATCAGAATCAGAATGGTGACCATCGAGGAGAGGAAATGTGTCGTACGAGAGAAGTGCGAATCCTGCCGCAAGCGCGCCTGCAGGCGGGCCGCGGGTCGCCGCACTTCCGATCCTCCACCCGCGGTGTGACTTTGACTGCTCAATGAGCTGACACATTCGCAATCACAATCACTGCATCAAAGCCCATGACAGCAAAGTGTCGGATACTCGTGACTATGCAGACTCACTCCGGTTGACAAGGGCACACAGCGACGCAAAGGGATGCGATGAGGGACTTGCGAAAGTTCATGGAGAAGATTACTGCCGGAGCTTCGGATGGGGTGGACAGCGCCAAAGGCAGCACCAGGGGGGCATCCCACTCTTTGACCGCAAATGATGCTGATTTGGAACGAGCTTTGGAGCTCTCTGAGCAGGAGGCTCGAGTGTCTGCCATGAGCGAAGAAGAGGCCCTCGAAGCTGCCTTGGCCGCTTCGATGGAGCAGGAACAGCGGCAAGGTGTCAAGCTGAGGTCGGGTACTCCAGAAAGATACAAGCGCAAGCATCCCGAGGCTATTGAGCGGTCGGAGCGTGCGGATGGGACAAGACGCAAAGTAGATGAAGCGGTGGAGGATGCGTCGAGGCCCCTTCGGTTTTCCGACGATGCCGGTGCTTCGAGACACGACGATGCGGACGCAAAGGCGGAATTGAAGCAAGAGAGTGCAGGCTTAGCACCTCTGTTCGGCGGCTCCAAAAGCGCAGTCGAAGTTCCGATCTTCAGCATTGGTGGTGCTGAGACCAGCGACTCGGCAATGACGACGATCAACAAGCTCAATGGAAGTCTCGACCTGCTGTACTGCAAGGGCTGGATCGTGCCAGAAGCGCGCAGAAGGCTTTTCCGATGGATGCTGAACGAGCTTGCGTGGCATCGGGTGAGTGTTGTCGTCCCTTTCAGCTCTTGCTCCATGCCTGAACAAACCTCGCGCCTCTCATCTCATCATCAGGTCGTGTACACGAGGCCGAATTCGAACATCACCATTCGAACGCCCAGACTTACGACCACATTTGGAAGAGACGATACGGGCGCCCCAGACTCGGCGTATCCCATCAAGCCTCGTCCATTTCCAAAACCGCTCGCAGAGCTCAAAGCGCTGCGTAAGTGGATCGAAGCGTGCGCCGCTGTAGCCGTTTACTCATCTTGATAGCCATGCCCACTGCAATCCCGGGCTGTCCGCAGTGGAACATCTCACTGGGACCTACTTCAACACGGTCATCATCAACCTCTACCTTGACGGTAGCGATAGCATGTGAGGCAGCACGCAATTCCTGAGAAGAAGACAGGAACGTGGCGCTGATCGCAAACATTGCCGCCTTGACGCTCCTGAAGCTCCTATCACTCCGACGACGAAGCATTCCTTGGCTCGCTCCCCACGATAGCCTCCATCTCTCTTGGTGCCACCCGCGATTTCTTCATGCGTGAGTATCAAACGCAATCTAAGCTCACGATGATCAATGGGCTAATCGTTCGCATCGTTCCGTCACGCAAAACGACAGGACGAAAAGCACCTGCTGGTGTCGATGTACCCGCCGCCCGTGCTGATCAGCCTTCCGGTACAAAAGGTGTCGGTCCAGCAGCTAGCAGACCTACAGAAAAGTTTGCCTTGGCAGATGGTGATCTCCTCATCATGCGCGGACGCAGTCAAGCGGATTATGAGCATGCCATTCCGAAACGCAAAGAAGCTGGCCCAAGAATCAATTTGACCTTCCGACGTGTGACAAACGTCAAGGGAACCAATAGTGCGTCCAAGACTAATCGAGTCGCCCGCTACATGGCTGTGCCATGCCGTAATAGCCAATTTTCGCTGACACGCTTCCACTTTGGCTTTCATATCAGATTTTCAACGCTACAATCGAGGTGGAGTGGCTGAGTCTCGCTTCATCAACGGCAAGATGATCGAGGCCTCTGGAGGCCTGTAGATCCGGGGGGAATGGCGATCTGCTCTAGAAAGCAGTTCCTGACTCGCGCGAAAGACAATTTGGCTACTTCAATGTTTGATGGCATCTGCGACTCGACAGCTTTCTTGGCGCAAGTCTTCGGCAACTCAATCGATCCGCAGTCGACCCTTGGGCTATCCAGTCTGCCGCGGCTCTCAAAACCGTGGCGAAACCTAGCAAGAAGAGCGAGAGAGACACGCTTTGGACGCCTCTTCCGAAGACCTGGAGCATGAAAGCAACCCGTACGTTGACCTCCAGCGGCCGAGCTGCAAGTCCCTGCGCCAATGAGGGATTGAGAAACGCTTTCACGCTTCGATCCTCCACTCCCATGATGCCGTCTCCCGGCACCGCGAGCGGCGTGTCCATCGTGACGAAGCACTTCAGCTTCCATTCTCCATCATCTCGCGAACACGGTGTCAGGTCTATGTAGGGTCCTGCATGTCGAACACCGACTTGCTTGGTCAAGAATGTGAAAGACGGGTCTGCAATCTTCTAGCAGTTCTTGCGCACTTTATGCAATGGCGGAGGAAGCTCATTGCATGCAGTTCGCTTATTGATCGACCAGGCAAAGTACGACTTTCATGCCTCAGGTCGTCGCTTTCAACAAAAGGCTTTGTGTGACTTCATCGAAAAGATGAGGCCGCCCTGGCTGTCAGATCAACGGCAGAAGGAGTCGAGCGTCAGATGTCAGACGGGATGATTGTTGGGGCTAGATGCGTCCCATTCCTCTGGCGAGATCATCGTTCTTTCAATGCGCATATATTTGCACTCACAATCATATCGTGATCACCAGGCATATCCTTTGAGCGTCATGCGCTTTCGGTTTCACGGGACGTTTCGAACCAAGTCGGGCAGCTCGGTGAGCGTTTCAGTCCAAGCCTCTTTCTTGATCTCACAGAAGCCTGTGCTGCAAGGAGCCCTGAAGACGCCGACGATCGAGCGAATCGCAGCGCGAGCTTAGGGCGGATTTATGTACGTGCACACTACGCGCAGGATATCCCGTCTACTGTACGTCCTTCCCGAGCAGCAGCAGCTTTAAAGCTTGCCTGCCAACGTCACGTCTGCGCCTGTCCTGCTGCGCAGTGGCAAGGCAAGATAAGCGATGTGTTCGCATTGCATTCACGATTGTTTACTTTACAAACCCACCTCCTTCCTGCAGACTTGTGGAGTAAGATTGCGAGATTAATCGAGAGGGTGGGGCTCATCGTGCGCTAGCTTTCTTTGTAAGCCGCTCTGGCTCTGGACGGGCCTTGCTATTTCGCACGTTTCGGACTCTGGTCTTGACCCGGGCTGGCATTCCGACTTTCCTTGGTGCCCAATTCTCACGCCATGTCCACAGCCAAGGGAGTTTTTCACCAGACTTCAACGAATGCTCACACGATGAAGCACGTCATATAGCAGCTGTGTGGGAGGAGAGCTTCTCAGCCCATAGTGAGAGCGCCAGCCAGCCAGCCAGCCAGCAACTTGCTTCGGGCGACCTTCAGCTGGTCCCGCCTCTCCCAACCTCGAGGCGCTGCGTCCCCAAGGGAGCCTGCGACGCCATTTGCATAGAGTGTGCAACGACAGATTCAGAATGCCAGCTGCACCACGTATTGAGCCGGACCTCAAACGAGAGCTAGCTGCAAGGCGGTTCAGCCGACGCTGGTTGAGGGACGGAAGCAGTGGTAGAAGTAGGCGGAAGTAGTGTGGTGTGTAGTAGAGGACTTTGGGCATTCTGCAAGCCGGCTTTTGGAGGTAGCGTTGGCAGACTGGCAGTGTCAGTATATTACTGCCGCCAGAGAGCAGCAGGTGGAGGCATCGAGTGTGCCCAGCATCATCTACACCATCACGACCAAGCCTGATGGCTCGTGCAGCGGTGATAGGTACCTATGCAGGTCCTCATACATCATCGCGCGGTCATGATTGCGATTTTTCACTCGTCTGGCATGCTGTCCACCGTCTGATGCGTTTGGCACGCTCAGCAGCGTTGGGCTCCTCGAAGTACCTCCACGAGCGATTGTGCAGGGAGGGGACCAGCTGTCGCTGCCAAGCTTAGCAATGATGCGCGCAAATGGCATGGATCCATACATTCGCGTTGTGACTGCAAGTCTAGCGGTCAAGCGTGTCGAGGTGCCTCACATACAGTAGTGTAGTCGCTATGATTCAACGGAACGACTGACTGATTAAGCGGCAGCTGGAAGATGCTCATGCTCACGAATACGAGCGCCGGCCGCCGAGCGCGAATCTTTCAGAGTCAATGATCAAGAATAGGATGCACCCTTGTTCGGATCGGGCAGACAGACAACAGGGGGGCCTGCGCATGCATGCAGCAGCGGCAACTCTGTTTGCTCGTGGGAATGCCATGATATCCTCATCTGACGCCGTCCGATCCGATTGCAGGGCATTCCTTCAAAGGCTTGGCTGGCCACCCTTCATGAGCAGCAGCTGGCGCGGCGCGGCGCGGCGCGGATCTGGCGTGCTCTGCTCCCAAGCAGCAGCTTGGACATGCGCAGAGCCGTAAAGTCACGAGTGCTGCAGCTATAGCAGGACTCAAACTGGACTCGACTTGAGCAAATTCGAATCAAATGCGACGCGTGCGTGCGTATGCAAGCCGGCAAAAACGGGTGCAGCTGGAATGCAGGCATGCAGCAGCAGAGCTTCGCCAAAACCATACTGCTTTTGCGCCTCTCCTCTGGCGCAGGCTGGCACAGCAAACAGTCATCCGTATTACGTCGAATCCAACGGTCGCCTTGCATGGTCGACTGACTACACACACATTATTACATCCAGGAAACATAAAGCATGCATCAAACATGACTCATCGTAGACACATTCCTTGACTGCTGGCTTCGAGCTTCGTATACGGGATGAACTGCCTGTATATCTCCGTGCTGCTTGGCCTGACCCGTGTGAGCATGCAGTGAGACCATCCGTCTCGCGTGTCTTTTTCTTTTCCCACGCGATCGGAAGCGAGTGGGTTACGCGAACACTTGCTGTAGGCACTCGCGATCGCGGCTAATGATGACCTCGAACCGCTGCCCGTCGCAAGACATTGGCGTTGGCGACGCTCACGAACAGCCGTCCGGGGACAATACAGTATGCCTCTGCTGCAGCCGTGATCAAGGATCCCCAAAGAGCTCCTAAGGATGCCGTGATGGACAAGCTCGCTCGGAAAGCCCGTGGGATTGATTGTACACGCGGTACGGTGCTGGGTGCTGTGGCGGTCGCCACCATGCGATCCATGCCGATCGGACTGTTCACTACACGACGAGCACAGCTACAGTATACGGTTTTGGTGAGTCATCTCTGCATGGCTTCGATCGAAGCGCAGCAGCTGCCTGCCGCCCAAAGGATCGCCCCCGGCCAAGGCCTCAATTAAGTGAGGCAGGCCATCATGCGCGAGCAAGCGCGCATCGGCGATCTTCGGTGCACGAGCGCAGATGCACGTGCGCCACCGAAAACGAGGAACGCGTCTTTTGAGGCTTGACGCGTCGCGAATCATCTTGAGATTGCCGCGGCGCTAAAATGTGGTAAGCGTGTGCGGACTGCAGCGTGTTGTTCGCGTGACCTTGTTCGAGCTGGGAGCCGCGACAGGCAACGAGCCAGCAGCCTTCGAGGCTGCCACATGGTGCATGACCATCGAATAAGCTACTGTACATCCTCCGGCCGTCATGAAGCTCGACGAGCGAAGAGCGACGGCAATGCAGGGAAATGACGCAAACAAGCTCAAGCTTCGCACTACATATGCCGTATTGAACATTCGATTGATTGTCTGTGAGCGCTCTCCTGGCTGGAAGCAACGTGCACAAGGATCGACAGTCCCACCGGCTCCGTCACGAAAGGCAGCAAGGCGCGACCCAGCGTCGTGGACTCAGTCGTACACTTACTCACGACTTGCATTCACGATTCACGATTGCAAACGGTCTCGCATGCAGTCCAAACACGCTCTGTGTAGCGCAGAGCCCTTCCCTTGCAGAACATCAGAATCCCTTGGCCGTTAGCATTCGCCGCGATTTGAATATGGACCTATACGGCCATATCAGCAGCGCCGTTGGCCCCCATCAACCGCGTGGTCAACACGCGAATGCCGCGCGCTCGGTATCGCCCAGCACCTGTAAGCTTTCATGCGCAACGTTCGGCCAGCCTTGGCAAGATCGATTCGTATAGAAAGTTCTTGTTGGTGATCCTCGTATGACGGTCCAAAGTGGATGGAAGCACGTTCCAGACGCGCCTATGGCCGGCCCTACATGGTAATTACCATGGCTTTGCATACAAGCTACGACGGTGGTAGCATTCTTGACTCAAGGCTGTGGTGGCGATGAAGCTGTCACCGCCAGTCAGACATGGCCTCTCCTCTCATGAGCCTTATGAACAGTCCGCGAGAAACGCCGCTCTATTGTCATCATAAAGGGCGAGTAAGCTGAGTGGAACGCTCGGTCCTCCGAGATGTAAACACAATCTTTGAACGGCAGTAGAGGACCCCGAGAGATTAACAATGGCAGTAAAGGTCATCGCGGGATCGACGGGCTACGCCTGCAGCGGCCTGGCCATAGTTGCACTCTCGGCCCTAGCATGCAAGCCGACTGTGGGCAGGCATAAGTCGAACATCATGCGTGCACAATGAAGGTAAACAGCTTGAATCTCTCGCGTGCTTTGAAGTCTTGAAGTGCGTACACTGACTGCCTCATTCTTGAGGGGGTCAGGTCGAGGTGGTCGTGCTCAAGCGCATGTTTCGATGAGAGCGAACGACTGCCTCCACTTCAGCCCGGCTGACCGCACCACGAGGTCATCGCCGCGATCTAGGTAGATCTGAATACGGTAGATGCGTACTCGATCATCATTATACTTACATTCAAGATTCACAAATTGCTTTGATGTGCAGGCCCAGATGACTGCACGTCGACATCTGGAACGTGATCACCAGCAGCCTTGCGTCGATGATGTTTTTCAGTTCAGAGCGTGGGCATCGCAACGGCTCACACTCAGATAGACGTCGAGGGTGTTGCTGTTGGCTCTCACACTCTGTTATTCTCACTCTTGTGATTTGGTCCGTCCTTAGCCTTCTTCACCTCGCCGGTGCAACGCCCTTGACGAGCTACACATGACCTGCTACTCTCTCACGACCTCACGGGAGTGTGGCTACATACATACACAGGTAGGTATAGGTGCTCCAAAGCTGCAGCCGTATGGCCGGTGGGACAGCTGCTGGGCGCCAGCGGAGCATCACTGCATGCATATCAGCATGTCCTTTTGACGGCTGCATATCTTTTACTGTGGCAAAGCGCAATCGTGCGTACATACAAGTACATGTACATATTGTGACCCTGCGATGCAGTCCGCGAGTCAGCAGTTGTGAGTGTATGTGTAATTAGCGGGCCTCGCGCATTTAACACACTTGCTGCTCAATCGCTGCATGGGCGCCGACGCCATAGCTGTCTGAATGCTATACTACTGTAGCTGTATAGCAAGCCTCTGCGCCCGTCCCGTCACTGGAACCGATTTGTGAGACAAGAGCCCGCTTTGCGGTCTTGGAATCGAGCTCCCGCGCACGCAGCATCCGGTCTACTGTCAAATCAGGAAGTGTAGCTTGGGGTCTTCTACAGGTCTTCATCTATGAAGAGCACGATGGAGCGGTACACTCACGGCGTCTGTTTGCGATCATATCATTTGAGTGTAAGCCACGCAGCATCGAGCAAACGATGTCGATCAAGGTTAGGTTCAGCTAAGAAGTGCGCGTTTGCTGCACAGCACAGCACAGTAAGTGCAGTGTACATACCTATTTGGACCGACCGAGGTTTCTCGTCTGCTGAACGCGCAAAGTCTGGCAGAGCAGCCAAGCGTTTCTTTTGCCGGCCGCCTCGTCAAGAGACCCGCATCGTCGCTGGTTCCCACACAACCGCCAGCAGCGTTTGCTCTGGCCGCTCGGCTTCTTCTTTCCTGGATGGGCTGCGAGGTAGCATGCGACGCGCGCGCCGGAGCTGCAAGCTGCTGCAAGACCAACACAGCAACACTTTCCCTCCTCAACCGCCTTCCTCTATGCCAGCCCCCCCGGCGGTGCTGCTTAGCGGCACTCCGCCCGGCCCTTCGCTTCACCAGCAGTCTCAGCGCAGCCAAAATTCCCTACAGCCGCAGAAGCGAGCTGCAAGCTAGGGCAATTGCGCGGCTGTACCGGATGAAGAGCAAGGTTCGAGGCGACAAGAGGCTTCAAAGAGCTACACGGTGTACAAGGATGGGATCGGGCCTGCGCATCGTCTACGCTGGAGGGCGATGGCTTCTACCATAGATCTCGCTCATTCGCCCGTACCTTCCCCTGGACGGTCTCTCTCCGCCTGCCTTTTGCCAAAAGGCGGTGCTGCTACTGACATCTGCCTGCATCATGCCATTTTCGGACAGTGTAAAGCGAGGAATCTCAGACGAGCGCCGGAAGTGGGGTAGGCTTGAGCTCGGGTGCGGTCGATTGGCGTTTCGGCTGGGCTGGGAAACACATTCACGATTGTTCGGACATGTAATTTGTTGGACGCATGACCTGCTGACGTTTGCGCGCCTGCGTCAGCAGTCAGCAGACCAGCAGTCATGCTTGGATACATGCATGGCACATGTTCGAAATGCCCCTCGCGCTTTCTTTTCCCATGGTTTCCCATGGTTTCCTGCAGGCCAGGCCAGACTAAAATCTGGCGCGCCTTTTCTGGGACTGCGCGAGTGTTTCAGTGCGTTGCAATCTCAAACTTTGCTCGAACAACTCCCATGGCGCCGCACATGGAAAGCCATACTGATACATGCAGAATCGCCCAATTCTCCGCAGTCCAGGGAGCAGCTCGGCGGCCCGACTTGGGTTTTCGATTGCGCAGGCAAAGGTGGCCTGCCGGGGCTGGCTCCATGCTGCCTGCCCTGTCCATCGTGGATCTGTTCCCAAGCACCTGCCAGCGATATCGCTCCCTCGCTCGCTCGCACGCACGCACATTAGTACTCGTTCCTCTGTGCGGCTAAACTGTCCTGAGCTGTTTTTGGCCCTCCGCGGGCCACTGCGCCCTTCCGCTCTCTCGCTCTTCGAACCAACGCCAGGGCACTTCCCAAAGCGACTCAAAGCTTGAACGCAAGCAGCCACACCGATGACATGCACTGCCTGACCAAGACGCAGATTGCGCAGGGTCAATTACGAACCCAACTCACCTCAAACTCCGCTCCGGCTATGCGTGCATTCGAAGGGAACCCGATGATCAGAAGAGTGGCAGGCTCAATCGAGCAAGAGCATCAGAGAGCAAGGCACCGCCAGGCATTGCCGGGCGAAGTGTTGCTCTGCTACAGTCCAGTGACTCCAACCAGACTGTGCGAAGCGGCTCTGATTGCTCTCTCTCTCTCTCCGATCAAGCCGGGCCAACTCGTTGTTGGATCCGAAGACTTGCATCACATGAGAGCTTGGGATCAAGCATCATCGAAATCAGGCCTAGCGTATTCATGTGGTCTACAGAGCAGCGTAAGCACAGTTGTTTGCTGCTCGTGCTCCTCAAGCGTCGCTGCGAGTGACCTTTTGCCGCTCGCAACTGTGAGTGTGTGAGCGTTGCGAGTCGAGGTCTGCAGTCACGTCAGAGCGCTCTGGGCAAGCCGCGGTCTGAAGCCCTTTGGATCGCTGATCGCCGGCATACACCTGCGAATGGGTATATTACCAACACGCTCTTGAAGCGTCCCCACAAACATCTTTCTGCCGCACCCTTCCATCCACCCATTTGCATTGAGACGTCTCAGACTGCGATCATCTGGTTCCGTCATCCTTGTTAAGCATCGCTTCGTTCGATCACTCGGTCATCGCGGCACTCAGCTTTGCTCTGAGACCTGACTTCCCCGCTCCTGCGCCATCACTCCAAGCCTTGCACTCGGTGGTGGCATAACGCGCTGAAAACGTGCTCGCCAGGACTGGTGAGTGTATCCGCGAGTCCTCCTGCCATGTCGAGCATCCGTACTCACTCAACCTGAGATCTGCCTCCGTCCAGAATGCAAAGATGGACCATTTCTTGGACGGAAGCATGCTGTTGAGCGATCAATCTGGTCAATCGCACATGCCCGATGGCAACGCGTGGAGCCACGCGCCTCAAGCCGATAATCTCGACGCTCATTCATTTCACCACATCTTGCCACATCAACGCATTCCTTCCAGCAGTCACGGCGCATCGGCTTCACTGAACCAGATAGACGCCGACATTGCTTTCTTCGCTGCGACGGATCCCAGCAAGCACGCTAGTGGCCGCCATGGAAAGGCATACTCCTCGACTGGCCCCTTGGTCGGCAATGCGTTGGGCCTCGACGCGCCGGAGAGCCAAGTTCACGCGTCCGGGCTCACCGGCATGCACAATGGTGTGAGCACCGCAGCGCTAAACGCGCCTGCCATGGGGCTCTCTCAATCGATGCCTTCCTTCGAGATGGTGTCACAACATCGCAACGATCGTCAGTCAGGCACGCACGATGATAGCGGGCACCAGCGACACGAGCAGACCATCGAGTCTGGCAGAGGTGTCGACTTTATCCACTCGTCCTTCAACTTCCGTCGACCGTCAGTCTCCAACGCATCCGACAGCAGCGCGTCACAGTCCGCCCACGGCCACGGTCAAGGTAGCGTGCGAGGCGACACTCAGTCTCCATCGACGTTGACGCCGCTGCAATCCCCAGCTGGTCTCGTGACACCGCTTTCTGCCATGTCGGGTCTGGCTTTGAGCACGCCTGCCAGCTCTTATTCGCCAACAAAGCCATACAACTCGTCTTCCGTCGACGGCTTTAGGCATCGACTCTCCTTCCCCGGCGACACCCACGGGGAGCTGTTGTCTTTGTCTCAAGGGAGGGATGTGGCGCCGACGTCGGCGTCTTCCGTCATGGGCCCACCCGCGCTCACTCGGCGCAGCAGCAACCTCGGCCACGCCGTCTACACTGGCGGAGCAGCAGGCAGCTTTCGGCCAATGTCCCAGTCCCAATCGCTCCTCTCAACTCCGTTTCGAGACGATGATGTTACACCTGTGCCGTCTTCTTCAAGCAGATTCGAAGGTCACGGTGCTTCGTCTCAAGTTGCAACGATGGCTGCTACCCCCTTTACGCCAGCATCTCGGCACCGTGCTCCCACCATGTCCTTGTTCTCATCGACCGGCTCCGGTGCGACGCCTGGCCACTCGCACTCTACCACCACGACCCCGGACGACCACTTTGCGGCGGGACACGATTCGCCGTTCCATCGAAACAATGGGCACCTCATGCTCTCCCGTCACGCATTGAGTCGCTTTCCTTATGGCGATGTCCCACTCGAAGTCATGTGGGCGGAGAAGGAGCAGCAGCGTGAACAAGACGTTTCCAGCACCAACATTGACCAAGACTGGAGCGAGGGCGAGTCTGCAGGAAGCAGCCCTGGACTTCTTTCCATCGATCAGCTTCACAACGGTGCCAACGCTCTTCAGCACTCTCAAAGCTCGACAGATCAAGAGGGCGTAACTATGAGCAGGACTGCATCGGCACCGTCTCTTGCACAGCTCAGCCTAGGACAGCATTTATTCACACCGCACTACAACTCCCACTCTACATCGCTGGCCTCGGAATCGCCGGTGGCTTATCCCTCGTCTTGCTCATCGAACGCCCTTCCGTCCCCTTCCTATGAAGACACACATTTCGGTGTCACGATGACGACGTCTCGCAGCATGTCCAATCTGCAATCTCCCGCTGCCATTTCGCCGCTGTCTCTCGTCGACGGCAAACAAAGGCGGCCACGTGCATTCAGCTCCGTGCATCAAGGCGAGACGAGCAATGTGGCCGGCGAGCAGGATGCTAGAGCTACCGGTCCATCCCGCACACCCAGGAGCCGTGCTCGCAATAGCGGTCCACCCCCACTGATCGTCAGCTCGGCAGACAAGTCCCACGTTTGTCACTGCGGGAAGCGTTTTAAACGCATGGAGCACCTTAAGCGTCACAATCGCACCCACACCCAAGAACGGCCGCACAGGTGTCCTTTCCCAACGTGCGGCAAGATGTTCGGCAGGACTGATAATCTCGCCCAGCACCTCAAGACGCACTACCGCGGGATGGGCCCAGACGGAAACGCTAAATTGATGGCGCTTGCAAAGGGCGAAGACGACGGTTCCGATCTCGAATTGCTCTACTCGGCGCGTCACGGCAACGAGCCGCGTCACGACCCGCACGCCGCAGCTTCCGCTGCTGCAGCATCCACGGCATCGAAAGTGCACGCAGCAGCAGCAGCGGCTGCCGCCGCCGCCGCCAAGCGCCGCAGCACAATCAGTGGTGCACCGCAAGATAATGCCCTTGGCGGTCCGATTACATTGACCAGGCCTCAAGCCACCTTCAGTGGCCGCGAGCCGCTCGCACCCGCCGGCAGCGTCAGTGCGAATACCTCACCAAGCTACGGTGCGCATGCCTATTAGCTCTGAGCTTGCCCCGTGGTCGCCTCCAATCGAACATTCACATGCTTCCTTGACCCTCGTTCGCTTATCCACAACCACATCTTGGGCACACTTGTTGTTGTTGAGCTTTCTTTCCAATATGACCATCCAGGCTCTACCTTCTCTGCACTTTTCTCACTCACGTTGCATTCATTCAAGGTTTCCACGCACATGCCTCGTGCGACATCATTCTTTCAACGTTCATACACGCACATTCCTCACACTGTGAGCTTGGTACAGAATCTCGGACTATTGCGCATTTCTCGTGTTGCCAATGCGATCGCTGTAACCTAAAGTATCTGCGTAGCATTCCTTTGTACAAAAGTCTCCAATCGTGAGTCTGTCAAGCGGACGACTGAGAAATTGTTCGAGATCAAATCGTCGCGAACCACACACAGGGGAGGAGATTACGCTCCAAAGGTTACTCTTTGGCTGCGCATGCATTTCCTTAGTTCGACGTTCACACCACCAAGGGTCTGCAGACCTAAGCGCTTGGAGAGGGTATGTAATGGGGTGACTTTTTTGAGATGATCGGAGCCAAGGAGCAGGGTAGCAAGGATGAACACAGCTGATCTACACGGAAATACCACCGTGTGAGCGTCCGCCCATCTCTTTTGCCTTTTCAATCTCCCTCTCGCTTGGCGAGGCAGCTGCACCAACAGCGCTACCAAAAGTTGTGCTCAGGTTCCTTTCTCCAAATCCCCTTATCCGAGCGACCAGCTCAGAGCCGACAGCATGGCCCTGCTGCGTGGTAGCAGCGGCTTTGACTGCCCATACCTTGGCCTTTTCCATCGCCTCGACGACGTGCGGAGCGACGTCGATCGAAGGATCCCGCAGTCCTCTGCCTACCCACCAGCCAGAGGATGTGCACTCCCTCGCATCGTCGATCAGCCACTTGTACCACATGCTCGCAAGCGGCACTGTAGCCAGGTGCCATAGCGCATGCGCATCCAGAGCGCGCAGGATGGGAGGGAAATCGAGCAGCTCTAGGGACGTCGCAGCTACCAGGAGACCTACAACCACTTGCAGCCTGATCCTCGCTGTTCGCGATGATGATGGTGGTGGAATCGTCGACAGGATAGGAGTCGGAGACGATGCATTCCCGCTAAGCGCATTCGGTGGCATTTCGTTCGCCCTGCCGTTTGCAGCTGATCTCGCGCTAGATGATACGCCATCATTGGGACCGGGGAAGGCCGAGGGCCGCAAGGAGTAGGCAAGCCAAAGAAATGTGTGCGCTAAGCCAACGAGCACATTGGCCGTCATGTTGTACGAGTAGTCGAATCGCCCGATGCTGAGATAGAGGATATGAACGGCGAGCGCTCCAGCGCACACACGTGCGAGCAGAGTAAAATTGGGATGGGAAGGCGGGATGCGGAATAGACGGCAAATGGAGAAAAAGAGTCCTGAAAGGATGACGGCGCCTGCGCTGAAGTAGTCGAGCTTCTCTGTCCAGCCCTTGTCTCTGGCGTGGAATACCGCGGACCAGATCCATGCGTTGCAGCTGACGAGCGCATGAAGAATGTAGATGACCTTCAATGGGAAGAGGTCTGGCAATTGCGATCGCAGCTGCACCACGCCTTTCGAGTGCACCCAAAGGTTCAAGAGGCTAAAGATGACGCTCAGGGGTTCTTGAGCCCCCAAGAAGCGAATGAAGACCCACTTGCCATGATACTGGACCATCTGCTTTTGCACAGGCGACAGCTGCTTGAGCCTGCTCTCCACCAATTCCTCGTACTTTTGCTTCTGAGCAGCCCGCGACATGCCACCAAAGCCCTGGCTACCATCAGACGCAGCTATGCTGGCCAGAGCTTGCACGGCTTGCTGCGCTTCGCTCTTAATATGGTTGACGCGATCAAAGGCGTCGTTGGTGACTCGGTGGGTGCAGTGGTACCTGCAATCGTCCGGACACGTCCATCCCATGGCTCGAAGGATGAGCGGCAAGTGTATTGTATGCGCAACGCCATCATCCCAATTAGGATCCGGTCCACAAGAGTCGCGCTCGCATGACTCCACGCAGTGTTTGTACTCGAAAGACCGATCACCCTGCGATGCCAGCGTAGCTGGAAGACACGAAGCGAGTAGACAGATGGAGAGCAGCGTCACGAGCGTGAAGCGCCACAGTGAGCCATTGAAATTTCGTGAACTTGGCGTCCTCATTGTGCGCACGGCTGGTGAAGGGTGTGAGGGCTGCCGTAGGGCGACGCGCTCGATTGGCAGGCTGAGAGGCTTTTGCGCAGCTTTGAGGTGCGAATCTGCTGACTTGCGCAAGGAGGACGGGCCCAAAGCAGTTGAGCAGGAAGCTCGTGGGCAGCAAAGCGGGTCGAGGTTGCTCATGCCGCTTTTGACATCACGTCTGCGGTGCAAGCTTGGCGACAGTGTCTGAGCAGGGATCATGCTTCTTACAGCTTGAAAGCAAACACACGAGGGTCCAAGATGCCGAGTCACTTCGGCTCGTCGAGCAGGCGATGCCACAGGGATCCTGCCTGACTAGTCGGAATGAAGTGTGCACCTGCCTTCGTCGTCCGCGGGAGGAGCAGGCAATGCGCTGAAGCGTATTGCGCGATGTTATGAGTAGCTCGGGGACGCCAACGCGAGTGAATGGGGTGGGAGCGCCGGGCCGGTGGGGAGTTATGATGGCAGAAGAGAGATGGCTGGTTTGCGAGTGCGAGTGCGAGTGCGAGTGCGAGTGGGGGCGATTGCGAGTGCACGGCTAATATTCGTGATTAGCGTGGAGGATGATGGTGCGACGTGCGCTATACTTGTCACTCCTGCTGGGTTGCGCAAGATTATTCACGACGATTGTGGATTCCTCGTGATTTCCACGCATGTACTGTACTACTGGCCCGCCGCGACAGTCACGAGCTCGTTGGCTGCACGCACGCGCGGTAGTACAACCGCACGCGGCCGCGCAGTGCGGCGGCACAGTCAAGAGTCGTGAGTCGTGAGTCGTGAGTCGTGAGTCAAGAGTATGTCACGTGAGTAATGTGAAGTAGCACTCGTAACAAATCACGTGCATCACACTTGACGCGCCGCGGAGCGCGTTTCAAACCGCGCGACGCAGAGTTTTGAGTAACACGGGCCCACGGCTCGTGATGATGTGCCAGAGAAACTTTGCCCTCTCGATCTTCTGTTGTGTGTGCTAAATTGTCAGACCGCACCGCAACGAGCAGCAGTTGAACAACGTGACGACCGACGTACATACGCGCGGGTTCTTCTATTATAGCCTGTCTGGTGTTGTGTTGTGGAGATGTGATGGTGGCGCGGAATGTCAGACCCTCATCGAGACACCTTCGAACGTTGACGTTGACGTGGACGCGTGCATTGCGCGTCTAAGCTGCTTCGATCTTGACCACCTTTGGCTCCTGCTATGGGTGTCACTTTCACGACGAAATGAGCTCGAGGTGTGTGTAGACAGAGCCAACATGAACATCCAGCTTGGTCAATCGCCGCTGTGATGCGCGCCATTTGCTGCCAGAACATACACACAAACCACCAGCATCAGTAGACTGGACAGGGACCACAGAAGCTCCCTTCTCTTTCCGCTGCGTACGGATCCTTGATGCACAAGATGCCGGTCTTTGCGGATCGCCTCTGGTCCAGCAAACAGCCTGAGCGGAATGCCGGCACCAATGGCACCAATCACCTCTCGAGCGAACGCAAGAGCGCACCATATAGCCCTTCCATACCCTCCCGCCTGAGTCAAGAGATCAAGATGACGCCCTCGCCGGACACGAGCAGCTCATTGCTCCACGTAGCCAGCAATACGCCACTGCCTGATGATTCATCCTCCTCGCTACGCGGCACTTTACCATCGCATACATCACCTCCAGTGTACGACTCGAGCTGGCGGGCCAATGGCGAGCAGTCGATGCAATCAGCTGGACGAGACATCCTCGAGGAGGACAGCTACTTGGGGCGTTATGAGGGAGATGAGAGTGCGGATGTGAATGCCAGTGAAAATTCGGCGTTGAGCGACGTAGCGAGGGGATCACCTCAAGCTGCAGCGCAGAGATTCGTCTTTAAACCTAAAGAGCAGACACAAGGTGAGTCTCAGCAATGGCGCGACAGGAAGCAATCTTCTTCCCAAGCGAAGCGGATGCCGCTCATCATCCTTAACGCCATCCACCTCCCAGACACGAGCTCGCGTCTTTCATCGTCGAACACATCTTCGCCTCCGGATCAGCGAAACAGTGTGCCACAAACGCCCTTTACGCGATGGAGTCAGCGTCAACAACCCTCTCAAATGCACACACCACCCAACGCTGCTCATCGTGAGGTTAGCGACGTCACCGCATCAGTCAAACAAAGCATCCTGCGTGGACCAACCACGCCTGCGACGGGTAGTAGCGTCCGTTTTGGGTCTCGCTTGTACGACGATGGCGATGAAAGCAGGATCAGCGCGAGCACTCACTCTGCCTCGGGGGCAAGCAATGGTTCGGGCACTAGTCGTCTGAGAAGGTCTTTGGCAGCTTCGCCCACTCCGAGCGACCAAAGCACGGCATCTCCCTCCACCATTGCGTCGTACTCTATGACTATGAGAGAGGAGATGGAGAGGGAGGAGGTGGATGACGTGTTGGGACAATCTTTGTCGAGGCGCGAACCCGTTGTCGAGGACGATCCCTACGAGGATGCCGACGAGGCTGACGTGCACCAGCAATCCAGCCGAAGACATGTCGAAGAAGACACTTTTGAGCAGTCGAGGCTTCAAATGTTGAGAGACTCGTCGGTGGAGGACAGCAGCTTGGACACTGTAAATCAGCCATCCGTTGTGGCTCATCCGAGGTTGGATGCTCTGCAAAGAGATCTGAACAAAGCCTCGCTCCCCTCTGTACCCTCGTTGAACACGCTCGCTGAGGCTCACGAGGTCTCCAGGACGATTGGATTGGCAGACGAGAGCGCCGAGACGCAGCGAAACGCGCTCGACGCCGATTCAAGCCGCAGGTCTTCTTTCTCGAACTCGGATTCTGGCTCTGCTGGGCAGCGTGCTCAGCGAACTTCCTCTAGCCCCACGATCCGTCTGAGGCAAGGCATTCTAGCAGCTCCACTGGCTGCCACGCAAGCGTCGCCTGTGCCGCCTCCAAGTCCACCTTCAGCATACCCTTCTACCTTGGAGGATATGTCAGCCTTGATCGACGAGTCGATGGGCGGAATCGACGAAGGCGACGAGTCTTCTCTTCAGGGAATGCCGAGGCCGTACGCTCATCGCGGCAGTACCAGCTCGTCGCCCTCCGTTCTGCCGCAAATAAGTCAGGCTCACCATGAATCGAGCGTGTCTGCGGCTGCTCAACATGCAGCACTAGCGCACCAGCAAGAGCCCCGCCCAAGAGCAGTACACGAAGCGCGCGACAAAGCTAGCTTGGAGGGCAACGCGTCAATCAGCAGATCCTTTGACTCTGGAGAATTCAGCTTCAACCAGTCAATGCTCAATAGGGAAATGGCCAAAGCTACAGAAGCTACCTTCTCCCCCCAGACGCTCACTTCTCAAGCTGCGCTACCTGGGGTGACTGGTCGCCGAGCTGTATCGACGTCACCTACAGCCGTGTTGAAGCCTCCTGGAGTCGTGCAGCCGCCCATCCGGCGCACTGTATCGTCGTCTTCCGCCAGTACGCCAGGAAAGCCGGACGACCTTTCGCAACAGTCGACTCGTGTTCGCGTCCAGGGGCAGGCGCTTGGTGCAGATGATCCTAGCCACAGCGCATCACGTCGCGAGGCCTCGCCACTTACGACGCCCGGACATGATAGAGCTGCAGTCTACTTGCGCGCACCATCGTCGACGAATGTCAACCGCAGCCACTGGTCCCCTGCTAGCGACTCGCACGACCAATCTCCACAGCCTACCGCAGGACACGACGTGGATGTCAGCGTCTCTCCGCAGGACATTAGCCGAAGAACCGCAGTATCTTCGATGTTTGCTACTCCGGCTGCATCTGCTGCGGGCTCTGCGCCGGCCTCTGCCAAATCTTTTCACTCGGCACAGGTCGGCACTACACCACTTTCGACCTCTTCTGAATCACCGGAGGCCAATGGCAGTGCGCACAAAGATGCGAGCGTCTCTAGAACAAGCAGCAGCGGCGAAAGCAGCCGTAGTGATAGCAAGCATGGCGCTCATAATGATGCTGCGTCTGGACGACGCACACCGTCTGATCGGCCTAGCAGTGCTGGATATTCTGATAGTTCACCCGCTGCGGCTAGAGCTGCTAGGAGGCTGGAACCGAAACCCTCAGGAGATTTGCGCTCCTCGTATGCAAAGGCGGGACCAAGCAAATCCGAGCGCGCCTCGAGCCAGCAGGACTTTGGCGCATGCGAGCCTGTGGACCGACAGCAATCGACAACTCCGCCTTCACCTGCCGAATCGCGCTTTGCAAAGCTGAGTGCTGAAGAGTCTCATCGAGAGAGGTCAGAGGACGAAGCGTCCCCTTCTCCTGGAAATAATGACGAAGTCATGACCCAGTGGATTGCCGGACAGAAAGAGTTTGATGTGGTGCACAGCAGGAGAAGCTCCCTGCTGCTCAAGCGATGCCGCGCCGCGGAAGAGGAGCGCGACCAACTCATGAGTGCCCTGAAAGACGGAGAAGCGACTAAGAAGCAGGCTCTGGTCGCGGCGCAGACGGCTCAACAGAGCCACGAACACTCATTGGCGACGGTCAGACTGCTCGAGGCTGAGCGCGGCGCTCACAAGAAACAGCAAGCTCAGCTGGATCATCTCGTGAGCAAGCTGAAGGATCAGTTGGCAGAACATCAAGCTCGGCTGCCCGACGTCGAGCGCCTACAGGCAGAGCTCGCACGCGAACGGCAAGAGAGGGCCATCGAGCACAGAGATATGGAGGTCCGGCTTGCGTTTGCACACGAAGAAGCAAGGCAGTCGAGGGAGTCTTCACCTGCCCATAATCAGGAGGAGCAGCGCTTGACGGGCGCCTTGATGAGTAGAGGCGACTTCGATCTTGCCTTGGAGGAAGCGCGCAAGGAGATCCGAGAGGAGTGCGAGCGAGACGCGGATGTCAAGCTGTATGCCCTGGAACGTGATCACGACGAGGCTGTCGGTCATCTCGAGCAACGCTTGCAAGAGGCTCAGGCCCGCAACAGTCAGGAAGAAAAGCTAGCAGACGAACTGCGAGTCGAGCAGCTGCAAGATGAAATAGAGAGGCTGCAAAGCGCCCTCGCTGATGCTGAGCAAGCAACCAAAGAGAGAGAAGATGAGAATGGTGCAGCTCGCAGCCGAGTGGAACATGACGCTCATGCGCGAGAACAAAGGATGCAAATCCAGATCGACAACCTTCATCTTGCATTGCGTAGTGCCAAGCAAGAGTCGGACATCCAAAAGGAGGAGCGTTCCAAGCTGGAAGAAGCTCTGGCGGCGGGGCCTAGCAATAGCGAGGTGGAGGATTTGCGATTTGCCAAGCAAGAAGCCCACGATCAAGTTGAAGCGCTTCGCAAAGAGATCAGCTTACTCTGGGAGAAATTAACGACCGGGGCTGGTGAACGCGACAATCTCTTGCAGCAAAAGAAACACCTTGAACAGGAGCTCAAGAAAGCGGCTACTTCGAATGAGCAGGCCGAGAGCAATGCGCAGTCGCACATCGCAGAGTTGGAGCGGCAGGTGGTCAAGCAGGAACATGAGCTGGCTAGCCTCAGGCAGCTTGCCGAGCGCTGCGAAGAGGCCGAGGCTGAGGTGAGAGAGCTAGAAGCTGCGCGAAATTCGCTCGTACACGAAGTCGATGCGGCTTTGGAACGCGTTGAGCGGGAAAGGGTAGAATCGCGCAAGCAGATGGAAAAGGCCAGTATTGGCTTCAAAGAGCGCATCGACAAGCTCAGTGAACAGCTCGTGCAAGTCCAACATGAGCGTAACGAACTCGAGCAGCGCCTGAGAAGCTCGCACCACGATGCAGAGGGTCAGGCTTCAGAGCATATCGATCGATTACAAGACGTCATCAAGAGGCTGGAGCAGAACTATGAGACTGTGCTGAAAGAACGACGATCACTCGAAACGCAGGCAGCGGAGGCTCAGGCCGAGTACGAACAGCTGCAAGTCGCGACTCAGACTGCTAGCGAAAGGTATCAGAACCACCTCGACGAATTGGAAGCTGATGGCAACGAAGCCAGGCAGGAAGTGGTGAGACTGGAGGGTGAGCGAGAGAAGCTGGAGCGCAAGACCTCGGAGCTGCAAGCGAATCACCAGAGTCTATTGCAAAGCTTGACCGAGCTGGAAGACCACAACTCCCAACTAGAGACGCGTTTGCAAAAGGAACAAAAAGCCCGCGCTGGCTCGATGTCAAGCGAGGAAGACCTGCCTGCCCATGTCACTGAGAAAATAGAGCGACTCCACCAAAAACTTCGTCATCTTGAGCGCGAGGCCGGCGATCGTGTCCTTGAAATTAGTAAGCTCAACAAGGCTCGAGAGAAGCTGGAGATCTCCAACAGCAACTTTGCCATCGCACTGTCTGCCAAGCAGCAGGAGCTCAGCCTTTTGAAGCGCACGTACAGCATAAAAGGCACTACAGAGACGCCGGCCCAACGCGCGCCACGCGCTTCCATGCCCAACGTCGCTGCAGCTGCCCAAAGTGAAAGCGAGGAGTCAGAGCTGGAACACAAGCTTCCCCAGCTAGAGCGAGGCTTTGCTCGTGGCACGCGGAGACGCATCACGACGGGGCCAAATGATTTGGAGCAACGCAGAGCAGCTAGAGCAATCGAGGATCAATCTGCAGCGCACAATGACAGCACTCCAGTAGCCAAGAAGGCCTCAGCCTCGGCGATGGGTCCTCCAACGAGACCAATTGCTCGTCGCCCCTCCATGGCTTCCGACCGCACTAACTCTTCGCGCGCGGATAATGTCAGCATGAGTAGTGTGGCTTCAACAACGCCGCAGTCAGCCCCCAGATCGGCTGTACGGCGACGATGGTCCAGAGTGGATGAGGCGACACCGCGTGCGCCCTCGAGCGGCTCAGCCACACCGACGTCTTCGGCGAGGACGCAGCGTGCCGCTCGGAGCTCTGACGTGGCTCCTCTTTCGCGCGAAAACCTTTCTCAAGCTTCTCGCCCGTCCAGTCGCGCTTCCTCAATCGCGTCCTCAACCAGCGATGTGCGCCTGACCTCGGCGCCTGGGCCTCGCCCAGCTTCACGCTACAGCGCGCTGAGTCAGGACATTTTTAGCGCTGATGATTCACGAGCCTCTGAGCCTCTGGGGCCCCAGCAGGAACCCAGCGCCAGCGTCAACAGAAGCGAGAGTCGAGCATCCTCGATTGCCGATGACACAGACGGCAGGAACAGCTACAGGTCCAGCTTTGACGGTCCCATGGATCTTTCGGAGCTGACCGACTCTGTATCGATGTCTGAGAGAGATAGCGGCGCACAGCCAGCAACGAGGCCTACTGCCCATCGACCCCGCGCTTCAAGAGTCTCTGTATCTACTCGGCGCCGCGACTCTTTGCGCGTTCTGGAAGAAGACAAGGAGAATTCGAGACGGCACGCAAGGCTCTCGAGCGCGCCCAGAGCACCAACCGAGCCGCCTTCCAGCGTGGGCAGCAACAAGCTGAACAGTGTCCCTGGAATGGGCAGCTTTCTGGAGAAACGTCGCGCTGTGTTGAAACGGCGTCAGTCTGAAATGCACGCTTGAAGCATTCCTTGTTTGGCGAAGAACATCTTTGATTGTCCTATTCGGTGCCTCTTATCTCGCCGTGTACTTATCTTGCCTATATACTTTCGTCATGTCATGCAAACGTTGTCGAGGGTCTGAGGGTACGAGTGCAGCGATGCGCTCACTCCGACGCACAACACTCTTGGTCATTGGACGTGTAGCGAGATGTGGCCAAGTGTGCAGACAATCAACATCAAGGACGTCGTATGGATGCTGGATGTCGGCAATCTCGAATGATCTACCGAGCAAATTTGCCAGTGTGAGTAGTGATCGGGTGGACCAAAGCCTGACGCGTGGAGTCGAATCGAATCACGAATCACCAATGTGGAATCCACTGTGAATTGATGTGCGTTCTATCGTGCTCTTCACGCGACTGGGCCGCCTGACGCCGTACGAATCCGCGTGCGCAACCCCGCGCAGGGAGCGTGTGGAGACCCGCGGATGACCGGTTGACATGCAGCATGTGCGCGTATGTTCAATCACGAATCGTGACTGCTGCTTAGCAGTCACGAGTGGTGAGTCAAGACAAGAGTCCTTCGATGTACCACATGGCGCGGACCATATTCACGATTGGCTCTCGCTCGCTACCAACGCACGCCTGCTTGCAGTCGATCTCCATCACCTCAAGCTGCCTTTGCTCTCAGGTCGGAAAGTGTCTTCGAGAAGGGCTCCTTTCTCGGCCCCGCAGCTCTACCTCGATCAGACACTCGATCTCTTCGAGATCTAGCCCAGTGCGGAGGGGCGTCGCTCGGTGAATTTGTCTCGAGGAAATCTTTGTTTGTTTTTCAGGCTGTCACAATGGCTAGCTCGAAACGCCTCACTAAGGTGAGAGACGTCCGCTGTGCTACAGAGGCGCTGGTGATCCCTAACTCCATTGGCACCTCGTCAAGGCCGAAGAACCCAGCACCACCTCTGACTGACGCACGTCGCCCCTTGTCGACCGGCTGCTTAGGAGCTTGTTGACCTTCAGACTACCCCACTTGATGGAATAGGTGAGTGTTGCACATGCGCTCCTACACGTCAAGCTATGAGACTCAGTGCATTGGCCTTTTCTTTGATTCTTCCACAGAGGTGATCCCGAATGAGTAAGCTCAGCATCACACTGCAGTCGCTCCAGATGGAGCATAGGGTCAAACCGCGTGCCGCTCCGCTTCTTTCTTTGCCCAGGGCCAACATTTACAAATGGACTGCCAAGGTTGCGGGTCCGGTGCGTGAGAGTGGAAGACTGCTTTGGAGAAATAAGCGATGAAAAGCCAGGCCTTTGCTGACCAAAGGCGGGCACCTTGCAGGCGGCAAGTCCGTATGCAGGCGGAACATTCCTGGTGAGTGAGCAGTGTGGCTCTAGTAGGTCGACGTTTGAGTCAGCAATGATGACAGGAGAGGGCGGGCGAATCGATGATGCTCACTTTTGTCATCGACGTCTCCTTTGGTACCCTTCACAGATCGAGCTAGAGTTCCCGGTCGAGTACCCTTTCAAGAGCCCTCGCTTAAAGTTCGCGACGAGGGTCTTCCACCCAAACGTGGATGAAGATGGAAGTGCGTAGATCTCAGACGCCAGTTGGGTGGCACATTGGGCGGTGTAGGATGGAAAGCGAGCGCAATCAACCAGTGTGCATTTGGATTCAAAGGCAGAAGCTGCGCCGCGCCTTCAGCATGCAGTGACGGAGCAGGAAGCCATGGCGATCAAGAGGGAGCAGGGAGGGTGTGCAGAGCGAGAAGGGCCGCATAGGCGGGCATACGAGCTTGAGAAACTATTCTGGCTCACTCCCCTCGCTCTACACATTCTCTATAGACCTTTGCGTTGGGCTATTGAAGTCTGAGGCTTGGAAGCCGAGCACGAAAGCATCGACTGGTGAGTCTGACTTGATGGCTGATCTGGCGACACACAACCGATGCCGGAGACCCGAGCTACGAGCCCTGCAGCTACGCTTGCCAGGCCGAAGCTTACGATACACACACTTGCGCATCTTCACAGTCCTACTTTCTATACAACAATTGCTTGCAGAGCCCAACCCAGACGACGCTTTGGTCGCCTCCATCGGTATGTACTGCAGCGTCGGAGTGCCAAGGCATCTTCAACCACGACGCGAATCCTGACATCAAGGCGATTCATTCATAGCCGAGTTGTACAACACTGATCGAGCCAAATTCAACAAGACCGCTCAAGAGTACACCAAAAAGGTGCGTTGGGAGATGGTTCCTGCTAGGACTGGAATGCTGAACTGCCTCAACTGTCCTTGGCATTCTCCTCCCTCGTGCGCTGCAGCACGCAACGTGAACGATGGGCCTTGCCACTGAGAATGTCCGCTTTGCGGCGCTTCTGCTTCCCTTGTGAAAGACAGCTGTAAATACTCATCAGTAACAAATCGTAGAAACGCCCAAGACGCTACCATGGCGCACCAAGGGCTCGCCTGTGCACGTCAAGGCCTTTGCGTGGTTTGCGCACACCAGCGGAACGTGCTGACCCAGGAAGTGAGGAAAGCATTGCATGCATTGTTGTACAGACCTCCGAAAACGCGGTCGATGTGATTGCGAAATGGCAACTGTGAGGTAGATGTAGAGAGGCTCCGCGTAGGCGCTCAGCTCAGAACCCGCGGGGGTTTTCTCTGAGGGTGATCCTGGTCCATTTGGGCACCTTTCATCGAGCAATGAGGCATGTGTGAGCAGACTCCTGAAAGAGAGACGGAGGCAGCGGAGCCAACATCCACCAGCCAGACCATCGCGACTGTTTGGACCCATGGCCTCCTTGATTGCGCGAAGGCGCGCTACAGTCCTACTCACTTTGTGCACGCCCTTCCGGTATCCCTTTGCAGACTTTGAAAAGGTGGTGTATTTATCCCTTGGTAGCATCTCGTGCTCTTTGGGCAGAGCCAGCGCCCTGTCCAAAGCAGCGCATTGCACCCCTGATCTTTGAACCGCAGAGATCACATCGTCCACTGCGCGCAATCGAGATCTGACCCTGGCTTTTCGAGGAGCACTGAGTCTCCAGGGCACTTTCCTTTAGATGGAGAGAGCGCAGCAGATCGAAGGCATACTCAGCCACTTGAGCGGGGCCCTTTCATTTGGGTTGTATGCCATACCGACCTGCCACCTAAGCGTGCGAAAGAGACTCACCATAAGAGCCCGCCAAGGGCTGGACTCGAAGTCTTGAACGCGCCGAAGCCCAACATTGCGGAGCTGTGTCGTCGAGCAGGTGGCTGAGAAGGGCAAGCTGCCTCTAGCTTGCCTTGCGTATTGGTCTTGGGTAGTGTGGTGGCGCTGTGCAGAGAGAAGTTGACTCCTTGATGAAATCGATGTATGTGGAAGATGCTCTCGCGCGATGTGCTTGCTAGCTGCAGCTTTCCATTTCTCTGTGAGCGAGGCAAAACTTCAGTCACGTGATGCATTTTCTTCGCCTTTCGCGCGCCGCTCGCTCAACGCACGCCGTCGCCCGTCGGACGCACGCTTACTCGTCCGTCCGCTTCTTCCACGAGTGGGAGCTCCTCATCACTGACCACAGCCCAATCCCTCATCCTTCGACATCCCATTCTGACGCACACGACCGCTTTACCATATATCTCATTGATCAGCTTCGCGCAATTCCTCTGCATCCAAGCCCACAAAGCAGACAGCTAGCAACGCCGACATTTTATCACGAATAGGTGAGTTAGTGACATTCTCAGCGACGTGTAGTGGTGGTAGGGCGCGAGCGCTATACTAAGCGTACAGCCCAACGATGGGTAGAGTGAGACAATGATGAGCGCATATATGCGTTTCTAAACCAATTAGCTTAGGAAGAGCCGTCGCGAGCATCCGCGGTCTGTGTGCTCTCGCTCCGACTTTTCCAAGAACTCTTTCGCCCTTGACATCGAAACAAGGGCACTGTAGTCACCCGTCTCGTCGTAGAGAGCACTTTACAGGTTGCACTCGCCCGTCTGGTACTTGTGATCGTGTCTCCCGCTCGAGATGGATCCTCTGGATTCTACTCGCGAGGGACTCGATTGCGAGGACGATCTTGGGCTGAGAGCGCCTGGCTCTCTCCGGGCAGGTAGGAGCAAGGGTGCCGCGCGGACGAAGACGATACTTTGGTAGCCTGATGTCTTCGCTGGGTCGTGCTTTGCTATTGGGAATGACAGCTTCTGCGAGCTCTTCACTCGTGGTGAGAAGCAGCTCGTGCTGACAAAGGTCCCACTCGACCTTACGGCGGTTGTGCAGATCATGAGGTCCACCGCACAATTGCTCTCTTCAGGCCGTGCTCTGCCTCAAAACGCGCACCAACTCGCAAAGCTGCAAGCCTCCATCGCTCGCCGACAGAACATCGTCGATGCGAATATGCGGACCATGACCACGAAGGACGCATCCACAAAGTCCGACGCCGAATCAGACGTCAAACCCACCACGCATTACAGGATTACATTGCGGAGATCTGGAATCGGAATGCCCTCCAAAATACGCAACATACTCTCCTCCATGGGCCTCAATAAGCGTTTGCAGACCATTTATCGATTGCAAAGACCAGAAGAAGCCGGCAACATTCTGGCCGTGAAGGAGCTTGTGCACGTCGATACCGTAAGGAGATTGGATGGAGGCATGGAAGAGCCGCTGCGAAAATATACACAAAGCGGGTTCGAGGCGCTTAGTCAAGAGGAGGTCGATGCTATTTCAGTTAGCAACGAAGATGCCATCTGGGTGGATCAGAAGGGAGAAGTGGTCGATTGGGGTTACAAAGGAAGGAAAGCTCCCCGGGGGTATACGGTAGTCGGCAACCTCAGCGATGAAAAGAGGCATGCCGAAATCAAACAGGGGCTGCAAGAGTCGCAGTAAAGATTGAGCTGCAATGCACATCCGTTGTCTTGTCTCTGAACCGATTTTCCTGAATACAGGGCTGCATGTGCAAGCGCCCTAGTCGAAGTTGTGTGCCGGGGTCGAAGAACAAGAGGGCGTGGTCGTATTATTAGGCTTTGCTGAATGTCTTAGACTGTTGCAGCGAGTCTAGCTGCCTTCTTGGCACCGTAGACCGCGCGCACTTCCTCTCGGATAGCACTCAGACCTTCGGCCTGGTGCGTATATTAGACGTAGGCCGTCAATTGCCAGACATTGAGCCATTGTTTGTAACTTTGTAGCGACTCACCACGCATGCACGAGCCGTTTTGCGGATGGTTTCGACCTGCGGAGTAGTTCGCAACCATGAGTCGGCGTGCGGTCGCAATAGATAAGAAAAACGTCAATCCTCACCTGCTCTGGTGTCCATTCGAGATTGTAGCTGCTCGAGAAAGGTGCCGTGGAGGGATCGTAGTTTGGCTGGCATGCATGAGGCAGCAGCGGCATGTATATCATCTTGCACGCTTTTGTAGCTTGAGGCTGATGTCCTGCAGAAGCGTTTGAATGTGACTCGATCAGCGCCAGATCAAGCTTGATGTGATTCTCTGTTCGGGGACATACTATGATTGTAGCGGATACCATCTCGCTCGTACGTCTTCCCTTGCTCTTCGGTCCTTTGATCTTCTGCAATAGGCTCGGCATCCAGAACCTGCGCGTATCGGCCGGCAAATCGACTCGCAATCTCCTCTGCAGACAGCTCCTTTGGCTTGTCTTCGCCTTTCTCGTTCTTCTCTGTAGGCCAATCCGGCAAAGATGGCATGTTCGCACGAGGAGTGACGCGGTAACCCTTCTCCGCCCCAAATTCTTGGATTCGTTCGAGTGCTGAGCCTTTTTGCACATCACTGCTAAAGTCTCCCAGAAGCATGATGTCGACGTCCCTGCCTGGTCGACAGAAAGTGTAGATTGGCAAATTGTTGCTCATTCCTGCGTCGACAAGGTGAATTCTTGGCGAGTTCTGCACGGGAAAGATTGCCGAGGTGAGCAAGCAAGGCAGAAGGCCGCTGGAGAGCCCTGGAGCTAGCCTCACCTCGAAGCCGTTTCCTCGGCCCTCTTGCACTTCTGCCCCAAAAAAAGGATTGGCCTCGTTTTGAGCATGGACAGGGTGATGCGACTGCAGACGCTCAGCCTTCTCCGGATTTTTCTCGACCCACTCGTCGGCTTCTTGACGAATCTTGTTGCCAATGGCACCCTTTGGAAGATTTCGACTGATGATGATTCGGGAGTGGCCAGGTGAGAGTAAGTGGAGAGCTATGTGCGAAGTGATGGGGCAAGCGCAAGGAAAACATACTAGATGGTACCTAGCCAGGCGGCGAGAGGACCGGCTGGTGCGCTGGTGGCAAGTCCCAGCAGCAGTGAGATGCTCCTCTCGGGGCACTTCTGCGTGCTGATTCCTTTGTCAAACTGCGTAGCTCACATCGTGCGGGATTAGCTGCGCTGTGAAGCATTGTTTGGGACGACCAGACTCACCTTGCGGCCAAAGGACCATGTCGGGACCCAGCCTTCGAGCTCATCAGAGCCTGCACGCGCCATGGCAGTCAGCTCAGGGTCATACTTGTCTATATGAGCGTGACTGCCGTTGCGTACACACCAAACTCGCAGGGGCTGATCTCGAACCACTAGAGGTGAGGCGGCCAGAATCATACGAAGTCAAACCAGCGACACTCGGGTCAACTCCACGAACGGCCAGACTCACTTGCCACCAAGCATGAGGATCCTTGTGCACCGAGCTGGTGTGATCAGAATGACCTCCAAAAGCTTCCGTCGGCGATTTCCAATCCTGTAAACAGCATGCACCGTGTCAGTATAGGAGCACGACTCGCAAGCTTGCGCACAGCAGCTCACTTTCCAAGGGCGCTCGTGTCGCACGGCTGTGAAGAGGGGCATGGGAGACAGTCCCTTGTCGATGCCCATTCGCTCGTAGCATCTAGACCATTGAAACCACTCTTTCTTTAGGGCGACTGGGGTGTCCTCTTTGATGTGCGAGTCTGGTCTTTGCGTGCGTCTGTTGGGAGGCGTGGGATATCCTTCCTCGAGGGTCGGAGGGTGCACGGGAGAGAAGAAGATGTGGCTGGTGACCAGTGTGCCGTACAAATCCAGCGGTCCGGGGTGCAACCCGAGCTTCATTTTGGAAAGGAGCGGCGCCAGCTGGAAGTACACGCCGTTTGCGCTCCTTGCGATCGCATCGATTGCGCCCATCGAGAGCGGATGGCGACTCGAAGTGGCCTTGAAGTGGTCCAGCAGCCAAGGGGTGTCGAGAGCAGCAAAGGTGAAGAGCGATCCTAATGACCAACAGCTACCGCTCACACCTGCTACATAGGCACAAAGGTCGAACAATCCACCAACATCTTGTCCAGCTGGAGGTTCCTGCATCTCCTCGATGAAGGAGAGGAAGCCTCTGCGGATTGTAGGCACTGCGTGAGCAGAAGTGCTGAGGTTACTCGATTATTGCGAGTGTTGCTCACAGATTGGCCCTGTATCCACCTCCGCTACCACCCAAACCGACCACAGGCACATCTTCGGGATGAATCTCTTCCGACTCATTTAGCTGCAAAAATCGTCTGAGCGCCCCTGATGATGCGATCCATGCTTTTCGAGCGGCAAGAGCTGCCGCTTCTTGCTGGCCCAATGTGTTCTCCCGGCTGTATCAGATGGACTGGCTGTGAGCCTCAGCACACGCGGAGCGGGGCAAACACGAAGCCGCTGCGAGCGCAAAATCTCACCGTAGATGCGCGTCCTTGAGAAGCTCGGGGTACGTTGTAGTGTCTGACAAATCTTGGACAACCTGCACGCGATAGCAGTGGTCAAGCAGTGCTATGAATGCTCCCTCCTATCCACACGAGAAGCAGACTGCCTCGCCTCACCTCTTTGTGCAAGCGCAAGAGGTCGCTGAATCTGTGACTCTTTCCCCTCATCTTGGTGCCCAGGTTCTTTAGACCCTCGGTCACGGAGCTCAAAAGGCCAGCATGGTCCGAGTCTTCTTTGTGCTCTTCCTCACCCTTTGCTCTGTCAGCGTCTTTTGGCTCAGGGTCGCTCAAGTCGTCTTGGGTGTCGCTGTGTCCCCATGGCCACAGATTGTGACTGTGAGGCTTCTTGTGCACTTCCTTCAAACCAGTATCGCTGGCCGTGACGCTGCCATCCACGGCAGTGGTATGAGCTTCCGCGTCTTGTGCTGCCATTCCGACTTCAGAAGAAGTACAGACTCTGTTGGGGGAAATGTGAAGCGGGTGAGAGTGATTGGTTCCACATGTTATCGCAACGGAGCGCATTCAGTGATGTCTTTCAACCTGTGCCCGTCCAGCATGCTGATCCCAAGTCGCCTGCCTACGTTCGCAAGTCCGTGCGGTAACGGAGCCC